GCACGGAAGACCCTTTGGGGTTTTAGAGAATCAAGGTGAAAGTCATTGCAGTAATAGTAATGAACTTCCTGCGTTGGCAGTGCTCTTCCCAGGGTGCCGGGAAGAGCTATTGCATTCCTCCTTCCCTGGGAAGGAAGTGATGTTAGCATTCCCATTTCCCAAAGTTCTGGCTCTGAGGCCTTGTAGACCAGTCTAGCTGATTGTTAAAGGGGATGTTTGTCTTGGACCCCCTTATCAGCCCTTGAAAGCTTCTGGAAGCACTTGGACCCCAGGTCGAACCTACATTCTTGAAGCCATCTTCAGACAGAGAGAAAGAGACAGAAAGACAGAGGGAGAATGAATGTCTGGACATTCTGCTTCCAAGAAGGGCAGCTTTCTAGAATTCGCTTCCCTGAACTTGGCTCCATCCCAGCCCTGATTGTGGCCTGAGGGGCCAAGCGGGATCTTCCTGGCTGTTCTCCCACCAACACAGTCCAGAGTTCGGGGCGTGACCCCCCTGGTGAGAAGCAGGCTAGATCTGCTGTGGGAAACCTTTAACTGCATGTCCTAGGAGACCCACGAGAAAAGCGTCTTCCTCCTCTCCTGTGCAGCCCCTACCCATGGAGCAGCCCACCAGACCATCGTTTCTGGGTTTGCCCTGTAGTTACCGATGGGAGAGGGGTATGATTCCTGCTCAGGTGATTTGGTCCCCTGGTTACACCCAGAGATACAAGGGGAGGGGGAAGCATCCCTGCATAGGTGGGGGATCTGGACCTTGTAGATTTCTCTGAAAAGCATTTTTCTATCTACAGCAGATAAGGCCTTGGAAAACTGGTCTCTTAATACTATTATCACTCCCAGAAAAATTAACAGTAACTCATGAATACCATCCAATAGACAGTGTTGCAGTTTCCCCCAGTTAAAACAAAAATGCTATTGTTTAAAGCTTTATTGAGATATATTCCACATACCAGGAAGTTCATCCATTTAAAGTATACCGGGGGCTTCCCTGGTGGCGCAGTGGTTAAGAATCCACCTCCCAATGCAGGGGACGCAGGTTCGATCCCTGATCGGGGAACTAAGATCCCACATGCCACAGGGCAACTAAGCTTGCATGCCGCAACTACTGAGCTTGTGCATCTCAACGAGAGAGCCCGCATGCCGCAAACTACAGAGCCCATGCGCCCTGGAGCCTGCAGGCCACAACTACAGAGCCCATGCACCCTGGAGCCTGAGCACAACTAGAAAGAGAAAATCCATATACCACAACTAGAGAGAAGCCCGCGCACCACAGTGAAGAGCCCACACTGCAATGAAAGATCCCGTGTGCCTCAACGGGATCCCTGGACCACCAGGGAAGTCCCTTACTGTAATGTCTTCAGGCTTATCTGTAGCATGTATCAGTACTTTATTTTTTGGCCATATAATATTCCATTGTATGGGTAGACCAGATTTTGTTTATCAGTTGATGGGTATTTGGGTTGTTTCCACCTTTTGGCTATTAGGAATAATGCCACTATGAACATTGCTGTACAAGATTTTCTGTGAACATAGGCTTTCATTTCTATATACCTAAAGGTGGAATTGCTGGACCACATGGTAACTCTGTGTTTCAATCTTGGGGAGCTGTCAGCCTGTTTTCCAAAGAGGTACACCATTTTATATTCCTGCCAGCAGTGTATAAGGATTCCAATTTCTCCACATCCTCACCAACACTTCTTATTTTCTGTCTTTTTGATGATAGCCATCCTAGCATATCTCACTGTGGTTTTGATTTTTATTTTCCTGGTGACTAATGATGTTGAGCATCTTTTCTTGTGCTTATTGCCCATTTGTATATCATCTTTGGAGAAATGTCTGTTCAGATCTTTGCCCATTTTTAAAACTATTTATTTATTTATTTTGGCCACGCTGGGTCTTAGTTGTGGCATGCAGGATCTTCCTTGAGGCACACAGGATCTTTTAGTTGTGACATGTGGACTCTTTAGTTGTGGCATGCATGCAGGATCTAGTTCCCTGGCCAGGGGTCGAACCCAGGCCCCCTGCATTGGGAGTGCGGAGTCTTATCCACTGGACCCCCAGGGAAGTCCTTGCTCATTTTTAATTGGATTATTTTTCTTATATGTAGCTGGATTCAGTTTGGTAGTATTTTGTTGAGGAGTTTTGCATCCATATTCTAGTTTTCCTGTGATATCTTTGATTTTTATCAGGGCAATATTGGCCTCATAGAATGAGTTAGGAATTCTTCTGGTTTTTGGAAAAGTTTGTTAAGAATTGGTATTAATTGTACTTTAAATTTTTGATAAAAGTCATTGGTGAAGCCATCTGGGCTTGGGCCTTTTTTCACGTGTTGTTTTTGTTTTGCTAATTCAGTCATTTTACTTGTTTTAGGTCTATTCAGATTATTTTGTCTTGAGTCAGACTTGGCAGTTTATGTCTTTCTAGGAATTTGTCCATTTCATCCACCTTATCTGATTTGTTGGCATACAACTGTTCATAGTATTCCTTTATAATTCTTTTTATTTCTGTAGGGTCAATAGCAATTTTCCCCCTTTGATTTCTCATTCTAGTAATTTGAGTCTTCTCTTTTTTTCTTGGTCAATCCAGCTAAAGGTTTGCTAATTTTGTTGATCTTTTCAAAGAACCAGCTTTTAGTTTCATTGATTTCCTCTATTATTTTTCTGTTCTTTATTTCAGTGGTCCCTAACCTTTTTGGCACCAGGGACTGGTTTCGTGGAAGACAATTTTTCCACGAACCAGGGGGTGGGGTGGTTTCAGGATGATTCAAGAGCATTATATTTATCGTGCACTTTATTTCTATTATTATTACATTGTAGTATATAATTAAATAACTGTACAACTCACCATAATGCTGACAGGAGGTGGAGCTCAGGTGGTAATGTGAGCAATGGGGAGCGGCTATAAATACAGATGAAGCTTGCTTGCTTGCCCGCTGCTCACCTCCTGCTGTCCGTGGACCAGGGGTTGGGGACCCCTGCTCTATTTCATTAGTTTCCACTCTAATCTTTATTGTTTCAGTTTTTCTACCTTCTTTAGTTTTATTTTGATCTGTCTTTTCCAGTGTCTTCAGGTAGAAGATGAGGCTATTGATTTGAGATCTTTCTTCTTTATTAATATTGTCACTTCCAGCTAAAATTTCTCCCTAAGCACTGCTTTAGCTGCATCCTATAAGTTTTGGTGTGTTTGTGTTTTCATTTTAATTCATCTCAAAGTGTTTCTAATTTCCTTTGCAGTTTCTTCTTTGACCCATTGGTTATTTAGGAGAATGTTGTTTAATTTCCATATATTTGTGAACTTCCAAAAGCTTCTTCTGTTATTGATTTTTTTAAAATAAATTTTATTTATTTATTTTTGGCTGCATTGGGTCTTCATTGCTGCGTGTGGGCTTTCTCTAGTTGCGGTGAGCAGGGGCTACTCTTCGTTGCCGTGCGTGGGCTTCTCATTGCGGTGGCTTCTCTTGTTGCAGAGCACGGGCTCTAGGAGCCCAGGCTTCAGTAGTTGTGGCTCGCAGGCTCTAGAGCACAGGCTCAGTAGTTGTGGCACACGGGCTTAGTTGCTCAGCGGCATGTGGGATCTTCCTGGACCAGGGCTCGAACCCTTGTCCCCTGCGTTGGCAAGCAGATTCTTAACCACTGTGCCACCAGGGAAGCCCCTGTTATTGATTTCTAATTTAACTACATTGTGGTCGAGAATACACATTTTGTATGATTTCAGTCCTTTTTAAATTTATTGAGTCTTGTCTTATGGCCTAACATATGGTCTATCCGGTAGAATGTTCTATTGGGTTGGCCAAGAAGTTTGTTCAGTTTTTCCGTAACATCTTATGGAAAAACCCGAACGAACTTCTTGGCCAGCCCAATATGTATATTCTGCCATTGTTGAGTGGAGTGTTCTATAGATGTCTGTTATATCCATTTGGTTTATAGTGATCTTCATATCTTTGTTTCCTTGATGATCTTCTATCTAGTTGTTTTATCCATTATTGAAAATCGGGTATTGAAGTCTTCAACTATTTCTCCTTTAAGTTATTTCAGTTTTTGCTTCATTTAGTTTTGGAACTTCATTGCTAGGTGCATGTATGTTTATAATTATCATATCTTCCTGATGGATTGACCCTCTTATCATTATAAATGTACCTCTGTGTTTTAGTAACAATTTTTATCTTAAAGTCTATTTTGTCTGATATTAGTGTAGCCACTCTGCTTCTCTGTTGGTTACTGCTTGCATAGTATATCTTTTTCTATCCTTTTGTTTTCAACCTATTTGTATCTTTGAATCTAATATGTGTCTCCTATAGACAGCATGAGGTTGGATCATGTTTTCTTATCTATTCTGCCAATCTCTGCCTTTTAACTGAAATTTCAGCCATTTACATTTAATGTAATTACAGATAAGAAGGACTTCTGCCATTTCACTATTTGTTATTTTTGTTACCTGAATGCCTAACTATGCACTAGACCCTTTATATAAATTATCACAGTTTTTTCATACCTATTTAATTACTGAGGAGTCTAAAATCTGGGAAGATGCAGTAACAGCCCCAGTCATTGGTGGAGCTGAGCTATGAGACCAACATTGCATCCATCAGCTCTTGCCTTGAAGTTTCCTCCCTGCTCCTCTGGCTTCCCCCTTACCCTCCAAGGGCCAATCTGCACATGTGGCCAGAAGTACCCTTTAAAAATATAAATCCAATAAATTCCTTGTTGATCTTCCAGTGGCTCCTACCAAAGGGCATGAGATGCTTCATGATGAGTGACTCCTGCTTACTGAACACATTCAAACCGAGGGTTGCCTCCTTCCCACTTAGGCCACCTGAGAGCTCAGAGCACGATTCACTTCAGTGTCATTTTCTGGCCTCTGAATATGTTCTAGCCTAGGCCTTTGAAGAGCCCAAAAGACTTCTTGAACCATGGCCATCACCAGAGAGCTTCCACACTTTACTTGCCTTTTCCCCCAGCTGCACCTAACTTCACACTTTCCTTTCCTTTCTCCCTCTTCAGTCCATGAAGACCCTGCAGGATTTGCTCACCGACATTTATGCACTCAGGGTCACTGTTGAAACCTTCAGGAAGGATGTGGCCATGCTGAAGGACATGTTTGACAAGGTAGACCCTCCCCAGCATCCTTCATACTGGCCATGCTGCTTGGACATCTGGTGGTTGGGGTAACAGGGTAAATCCAAGAAGCCTGTTCTTAGTCAAAGAACACAGCTATGGGGGCAGGAGAAGGGGTCTGACATGGCTGAGCCACTTGGTCCATCCCACTGAACTCTCTGCAGCTTACACAATGATCCTCACCCTGCTGTGTTAAGACATCATTTGTAAGTGACAGAAACCTAGTTCATCCTGGCTTAGGCAAAAGAAGAGAATTTATTGTCTCATTTACTAAAAAGTCAGGAATGCCTTCAGTTACAGCCAGATCAAGATGTTCATACCACATACCAAGGTGCTCAACATCTCTCCCTCAGTGATGCTTTCCTCTGGGTTGGCTTCATTCTCACGCAGGTACTCCCCAAGTCCTGGTAACTCCAGGCTTATAGTCCATCAACTTAGCAGAAAGAGAATACTTATTCCTTGTCTAGAAAACTTTGTTCACACTGAAAAGTGGAGTAAACCTAGCATAGGCATACATTCTAGCTCCCTCTGTAGCCACAAGAATATCAACCCAGACATGTTCTAACTCCTTACCGTGATGGGAAAGGATATGGAATCCCTGAAGTGTAAGGTCACAGCTGGTGAGTCAGAGCTGGGCTCCAAAGCCAGGCCTCGACACCCCAGGATGGTGTTATGGCTGAGGTTTTACAACTTGTCCCCAAATAACATGATTTATTGTATCATTCCTAATACACAGGTCAGTGTACGTATTTGATCATGATGGCAACTGTGAGAACTTCAGTCTTGGGCTGTGTAGCTCCCATCTGAGCAGAAAGGGCACTGCCAGGAAACTGTCATGAAACACTAAAACAGACAGTTGGCCAAATCTGTTTGGGAAACAATGCCTTCTCAGCTTACCTCTTGGAGATTCTTAAGGTATTTTGGCCCATTAAAGGCTCTGAGAAGTCCTTCAGTATAAAAACCCATTGAATGTTTTTTGGGGGTTCTTTTTGTGGTACGCGGGCCTCTCACTGTTGTGGCCTCTCCCGTTGTGGAGCACAGGCTCCGGACGCGCAGGCTCAGTGGCCATGGCTCACGGGCCCAGCCGCTCCGTGGCATGTGGGATCTTCCTGGACCGGGGCACGAACCCGCATCTGCTGCATCAGCAGGGGGACTCTCAACCACTGCGCCACCAGGGAAGCCCTGAATGTTTTTTAAGCCTAGCATTTCCCAAACTTATTTGCCCAGGGAACCCTTTCCCACTTAGTGGGAAACAGTTGTTTTGGAATCTGTTCTTCCTTCTCCATCTCTTAGTTACCTAGAGCTAAGGCTTTGCATTTGAGCTGGGGGAGAAGCAGGGCTGGAACCAGAACCTGCACCCACTGGCTCACAGGCTCGGCTCATTTGACAGATGCATCTGGAAAGAATAGATGCTTTCTCTGAAGACTTGAAAGGGCAGAACTGGAAGATGAGTGCACTGCGGTGGGAAGTGGTGAGGGTCTGGGGCCCATCCTACCACGCCAGACCCCCGCCCTCCAGGCCCAGGGGTGCTGGGGGCAAGGAGGGGTAGGAGGAGAACACAATCTGGAAAGGCCCATTTATTTGCAAGTGTGGAGGGCAGCATGGAGGAGGGAGCCACTGAGGGTACCACACCCTCTGGGTTCATGACCCTTATTCCCAGTCTCCTTCCCACCCCCCCAGATTTCTCTCCAGAACAAGATAACCACCATGCCCAAAACTGAGGACATGGTGCTCTGGAGCAGCCTCCATGAGGCCATGTTCACCCCGGTAAGTGAAGGAGGAAGCGGAGAGGCAGCATCTGAGCATCGGGGAAGGCGGAGTGAGGAGTGGGCAGGGTGATCGCTGAGCTGGTCTGGAGCAGCCCTGGCCAGCCCAGCCCCCTCTTCTGCAGGGAACTGCTCCACAACTGCCGGATGATTCCAAGCAGTGGCAGATTGCGGAACATGTTGCAGAGATTGACCTTCCTCAGATGGCTGAGTACCACGAAGAAGTTAGCCACGGCCAGGTCGTGGAGGCCATCCAGCGCCCCAGTTCCTGGAGACCATCTGGCATTACCAAGTCCAGGGCAGCTACAGGAGGAGGAGTCTGCCCAAGCAGCTCTGCTTCCCAGGGCCCAGGGGCCGGACCAGGCCCAAGTGCTCGAACCTGGGCCTGCGCCTGGACCTGGGCCTGCGTTTGGACCTGGGCCTGCCCCTGGACTGGGGCCTGCCCCAGGTCCTCAGCCCACACAATCAGGATCCTGGCCTGTACCACCACGAGGCTGTCCTCCTCCCAGAGGCTTGCCCAGGACTAACTTGGGCTATTTCCAGTCTGGCCTAGGGCTGTCGGGCTCCCTGTCTGCCCAGCTCCAGGGCTCTAGGACCCTACCCCCAGCCACAGAACTAGGCTCAGCTTAGCCTCATTTACTGCAGTCATGGTCTCGCCAGGGAGACACATCCAAGCTCTCAGCTCTCTCAGAAAAGGAGGAGGAATATTCCTCCGTGGAAGTGGGAGTCCCTCAGGATGGAGCCCCAAGGGCTGAGGCCTCCGCGGAAGTACTCCCTAAGGGATCCCCGTCTGCGGTTCAGCAGATAAAATCCAATGCTGCCATTGCAGCTGCTGCCGCAGCCACCTTCACAGCTGCAGCGACATCGGCAGCCCGGGCAGCTAAAGCGGCTGCCAGGCTGGTCAGGGACACCCCGGCCACCAAATTGGCCACCATAGCAACAGCCGTGGCCGCATCCGGGCCCTTAGGGGTCCTTGCAGACATCCTGGGCACAGGGACCTCCCGTGGGGCCTTCACCAAGGACGGCGAGATGGAAGACTTGCAGGAGGTGGACTGTGAGGACGTCCTCTCTCCTTCATTCTCTTCTGCCCGTGTCCCTCCCAACATGGCCCTGTCCCAGGCCATGCTGGCTGCCAAACAGGCCATGACCCCTGAAGACAAGAAGAAGGCCGTCAGGTATTCCATGAGCCACATAGCCCAGATGCCTATTAGACATGACTCCCTGAAAGAAGAGTTTGCCCAGCTGTCATCCAACCTGCATCAGCGTATGACTTATCTAGGTAGGCCAGGCCTGGCTTCTGGAAGGGTAACAAGGGCTCAGGCCCTCCCTGTGGCCTTTGAAAAGCACCTCCTCTCCTTCATTTAGCTGCCCCAACAAAATGTGCATTCAACCATTAGCCATTCATTCCTTTGGCTTAAGCATTAGCCTCTTACTAGTCTATTATTTTACAATGAATGTACAGTGAGGTCTTATCTTAGGGAAGAAGGGTGGTTAGGGTCTAAAGTTGGTGTTCAAGAAGGAAAATCAAGTCAAAATTACTCTTGGAAATTCCCTTTCAATAGCCCATAAAATAGTACTGCTGTACAGTATTTTGATAAGTCCAGATCAACCAGTGTCTAATAGCACTGAACAGACCCCAGATGAAGTGGTCAATTTGGGATTAGGAACAACAGCTGGGCAAACATATGTTTTCTTAAAGACCACAGTCAGGCTTCCCTGGTGGCGCAGTGGTTGAGAGTCCGCCTGCCGATGCAGGGGACATGGGTTCATGCCCCGGTCCGGGAAGATCCCACATGCCGTGGAGTGGCTGGGCCTGTGAGCCATGGCCGCTGAGCCTGCGCGTCCAGAGCCTGTGCTCCGCAACGGGAGAGGCCACAACAGTCAGAGGCCCGCATACCACAAAAAAAAAAAAAAACAACAAAAAACCACAGTCATGTTCTAGGTGGCAGTAGGACCAATAGACTTATGATCCCAGTTCATGCCCATGATGGGCATATGTTCACTGTGGGGAGTGGAGAGGAGAATGGCCTACCCTAGTGGTTCTCAACCTTAAGCTCACCTCAGCATCCCTGGGGCACTTGGTAAGGCACAGGCTGCTGGGCCCAGCCCCAGATCTGACTTGTTGGTGTGAGTGGGGCCCTAGAATTTCTCTTTCTAACCCATTCTGGGGGATGCTGCTTATGCTGCTGTTGGCTCAGGGAACCCACTTTCAGATCCACTGTCCTCCCCTCTTTGAATCATTATCTTGCTTTTTCGCTCTCTGCCAGGTGTAATAGTTGAATTAGCCTAAGTCAAATCCATACATGGTGCCACCCCTGATGGGCAGTGCCATTCCACAGATCTTGAAAAAGAACTTCGAGCAGCTAAAAAGAACCACATCGATCTCTGTGAATTCTGGGGCACAGCTTAGGTCATGATAGTCATGAATTTAAATATAAAACATAAAGCCATAATAGCCCAAACTCTACTTCTGACTAGTTGCCATTTTTTTTAAGAAAACTAAAAGTAGGTTGTGAATGTGTCTTGGCTGCAGTGTTTTGTACCCTCCTAGCTGTGTCATGTACATCACTTTTTGGCCTCTCATCCAAAACTGGATATAGGGCACTTTTTTTTTTCACCCCTCTCCTTTTATGTTAAATCCCCCTTTGCATCTTGTTATGAGATAATACATTTCATAAACTCTCACAAGTAAATACTCCATAGTTTTTCTCAGGACCATTTCTGGGAGGGCAATAAATTCCAGAGAGGTTTCCCTAATAGGATAACCACAAGGCTGTCAAACATCTGAAATGGGGCAAGTTCAAGTTCCCATATGGTCCAAGCACAAAGTGCACACCAGATATTGAGGGCTTAATACGAAAACAAGAATGTGAAATATCTCAATCATTTTGTTGATCACATATTAAAATGATGCTTTTTTTTTTTGGCTGCACAGCTTGTGGGATCTTAGTTCCCTGACCAGGGATTGAACCCAGGCCCTCGTCAGTGAAAACGTGGAGTCCCAACCACTGGACTGCCAGGGAATTCCCAAAATGATGCTATTTTGGATTATATTGGGTTATGGACTTCCCTGGCGGTCCAGTGGTTGACTCCAAGCTCCCGATGCAGGGGGCACGGGTTCAGTCCCTGGTTGGGGAACTAAGATACTGCATGCCCCACAGTGTGGCCCCCCCCAAAACCCACATGGATTATATTGGGTTAAACAAAATATTTTCTTAAAATTAATTTCACCTGGGACTTCCCTGGTGGTCCAGTGGTTAAGACTTCACCTTCCAATGCAGGGGGTGTGGGTTTGATCCCTGATCAGGGAGCTAAGCTCCCACCTGCCTCGGGGTCAAAAAACCAAAACATAAAACAGAGGCTATATTGTAACAAATTCAATAAAGACTTTAAAAATGGTCCACATCAAAAAAAATCTTAAAAAAAATTAATTTCACCTGCTTATTTTTAGATTTTTGTTTTTAAATTTTCACAAGAAAATTTTAGATGATCTCAGAGGTCCCCAAGCTCACAGCATCTCTCTGTTGGAAAGCACTGCCTTAAATATAACAGAAGCAGGTGGAACTCTAGATGAAGCATCTTCCCCCATCCCTGCCCCCAACAGCCACCCCCTCCTTTGCTTTCAGCTAATATGGGAGCCTCTTCCAAGCTTGGGACAACGGCGGACGTATTGCAAGAAAAGATTGGCAGCCTCCAGAAATCCAGGATGAGGGTCAGTGTCCCGGGCAGAAAAGGCATTTGAGAAGACGATGGCTTGAGGTGATGGCAGACTCCATGGCCAGAGCCAGGTGGAGGCCCTGACCTCCTGGATGCAGCGTTTGTCCTGGAGCTGAAAGGAGCCCTGGGGAGGGAGTGGGGCCCAGAAGGGAGGTGCAGCCCCGCGGAGGCAGGTCTGCCCCGGCTGGTGCAAGGCTCCCAGTGGTGGGCGGCCACATGGTTCCCTCTGACAAGTGTCTAAAGTGGCAGTTGGCTGGCAGGCTGGGGACACCCTGGTCTGGTACTCTCTTGAAGTCCCTTCCCAGCCATGGCGACCTCAGAAGCAGAGGCCTCTTGTGTCTATGTCTCCCCCTTGTAGGAGGAGGAACTTGAGAGAATTTGGGGCCACCAGATAGAGATGATAAAGGACCACCACCTCGTGCTGGACAGGGCAGTGGACAAGCTCCAGATTCGCCTGGATGAGTTTAAGGTTCGGAGGTCCGGAAGGGCCCAGAGGAGGGAGGATTCCTCACTGGGACATTCAGATTCTCCCCAAAAATTTCACAGACACCCTGAAGGCAGGGGAACCAGGGACACTTTCCTGGCATTTTACTGTGTGTAAGTTATACTTCCATGAAAAGCAAACAAATCCCGCCACCTGCACCCCCAACACATAAACAAGAGGGCCTGAACAGGATCTGTCTCGTTCACCGCTTGGGTCACCCACGCCAGAAGGGTGCCTGGCACAAAGTGAAGGCTCAGAATGTGCTGAATGAATCGGTGAGTGGATAAGAGGATTTCTCGGGCCAGCTGTTCATGTTCATAACCTTTCCCCTAAACTGGCTTGTTCCCGAGTTCTCACACCATGGGGCCTGTCCGGAACAGCAGAGTCTGACATGAGAAATGTGAGGACGATGCAGAGCACCTCCCAGGGGTCATTCAACCAGACACCTTCTCCCTTGGGCTCACTGAGCTGGCCTGATGACCCTGCCCTGATGACCTCGGGACCAGTCCCATCTGTGCCTTGTCCCAGAGGCATCCCAGACCCTTGGGGAAAGGATCAAAGTTATTCCCGGTGGGAGGAGATGACCCCAGGGTATAAAGAGACAAAATCCCAAACAGATCCACCTGAGGTGATTTCCATAGAGGGCTTCTGATTCCAAGTCAGGGGGCTGTTGGTGGGATGCACTAGGGTGTGGGGAGCGAAAGGGGAGGGCACAGCTCCCCCTCCCAAGGCGGTCACACAGAGTGACCAGGCTAGCGTGCACAGGGCAACTTGGACGGGAGAGGAGTTCATTGAAGGTGAGCCGATGCCCAGCCCAAGTGGGGAAAGAAGGGAGTGCCTGGGCCGTGTGTGGGCTCCCAATACACGGTTTCAGGCCCAGGCTTTTGTGAGCACCAGGATCAGGAACTACATAGTCTCCTGCCAACTCTGCACCCTCATTTAGCCACTGCTTTTCAGAGAGACTGGGATGCCGTGTCCTAGGGACCTATTGGTGTCCTTCCTGGTCGGAGACTGGGGCCAGTTCTTTCAGCACTTCTGATGTGTGTCCAGCACCATGTCCTGCCCTGCCCGGGGTGGCGGGAGTGGGCGTAGGATCTGCCTCCAAGGAGCTGTCACTCGTCACTCGTTGAGAGAAAGTCAAGAGGAGTTTGGCCAAACAGACCAAATGGATCAAGTCAGCCTTTGTCCACACTTCCTTCCTGCCCGTTGTGCCAGCAAGAACTAATTGCTTATAAAAGTGAACCCTGGAAGGATCAGGAGCTGGGCTTTGTACCAGCACGCTTCATTAAATAGTTCTTAAATGAACATGGGCTGCAAGAGATCAGCAGCCTCGTGGAGCCCTTCCAGTAGAGGAAGGAGGGAGGGCAGACACCTCTGCCCTGGTTCTGTCGCAACATCGGGACTAGAGAGGAAACACCGCTGTTACTGTGTTACCTGGATGCCTGGGAGAAAATGTTCTGGACGTGACAGGTGGCACGAGAAATCCCCATTCATTCCCTGAGTCATTCAGCCAACGTCATTGAGCCTTCACTGTGTGCCAGGCGCCCTTCCAGGGCCCAGAGATACAGCAGTCAACAAGATGGACAGTGCCAAAGCCCTTACGTGTTTTTTGCGGGGGAGCGGTAGTATTTGTTTGCTTTCAATGAAAGTATGCTTTACGCACAGTAAAATGCCCAGGCCTGAAGTGTAAGAGCTAGATTAATTTTTGCCTCTTGGTACACCCATGTCAGCACCACCCAATAAAGATGGAAATGTTTCCATCACCTTAGAGTGCTCCTCTTGGAGTGTTTCCCACTAAGAACCCAGCAGGAAAATAAGTGAGGATAGAACTCTTTCTTACTGACCCAAATAATGTGAAAACATTATTTGCCCTTTGCAAGTGGACAGGTGTCTTTTATAAGCCAGAGGCTGCATTCCAAAGCCATTCTTGGAACAAACTACTATATCCAAGGCTCTGGCTTGGTGCAGGAGGGGACGGATAAGACAGCTGATGTGTATAAAATGCCAGCTCTCCTAGGAAAGTGCCATTTCTAGTCCCCTCAGCATCTTTGGGACAGGAGTGGTATTAATGCCACTTGAACTAGGAGGAAACAGATCCAGGCAGAGTAACCAGCCAGTTGGGAGGCAGCCTGCTATTGTGGTTGGATAGGCCTGGGTTTCAATCCCGATTCTGCCACTTAGTGGGTGTACCAGTTTCCTGCGGCTGCTGTAACAGATGACCACAAACTGGATGGCTTAAAACAAGACATGTACTCGTTCACAGTTCTGGAGGCTAAAAGCCCCAAATCAGGGTGCTGGCAGGGCCTTGCTCTGTCTGAAGCCTCTAGGGGAGGATCCTTCCTGGCCTCTCCCAGCTTCTGGTGGCTCCAGGTGTTCCTTGGCTTATAGACGCATCACTCCAATCTCTGCCTCCGTTGTCACGTGGCCTTCTTCTCTGTGTGTATATCTGTGTCTTCACGTGGCCTCCTCATCCATGTGGGCTGCTCTAATCCAGTATGACCTCATCTTAACTAATTACATCTGCAAAGATCTATTTCCAAATAAGACCATGTCCACAGGTTCTGGGCCGGCATGAATTCTGGGGAGGACATTAGTCAACCCAGTACGCAGGTTACTGTGGCAGTGGAAGTTAGAGGCTCCCGGCTCCTCTTTATTTCTAGATTTTAACTAGGAAGAGCCAAGTGGGGATCTAAGTGTTAATGTTGGGCCTGATGACTCCAAAAGGTCAGCTCCCTGCTAATGTGGTGTTGGAGGAAGCAGCCTGACACGAGGCTGAAGCAGGATCTCCCTTCCATGGCCTCCGCCGTCCATCCTAGACCTTGAGACCCATCTGGGGCAAGGTGGATGTGAAGGAGCTTTGCATTAATTAGAATTAGGTTCATCTTGGGCCCTCCCTGGTGGTCCAGTGGGTAAAGACTCCATGCTCCCAATGCAGGGGAACTGGGTTCGATCCCTGGTCAGGGAACTAGATCCTGCATGCATGCTGCAACTAAGAAGTCCGCATGCCGCAACTGAGACAACGCGCAGCCAAAATAAATAAATAAATATTTTTTAAAAAAGAATTAGGTTCATCTTTGAATAGCATAAAACTCCCAAATAACTGACTTAAGGCATAAGTGTATCTCTCTTTTACATTCAAGAAACTCAGAGCTGGTATTGAACTCCATGGTGTGTCACTTCCATTCACAAGGTCACCACATGGTCCAAGACAGCTGCTGGCACTCCAGTCATTAACTCTGCTTCCAAGCCAGCAGTGAAGAGGACGCTGACCCACTTCCATTTACACCTCAGTGGTCACATCAAGCTATATGGGAGGCTGCGAAATATAGTCATGATTCTGGTCTGCCAGATGCCAGCTAAAAGTTGGGGGTTCTGTTTCTGAGGGTAAAAGGGAGACCAGATATGTAGGGAGAAGTAGAAGCCTGCTGCCAGCTTTGGAGGAGGAGTGACCCTACCCTCTGGGGACATGGCCCATTGGATGTGAGGCTCTTCCCAAGCAGGTTAGCTGGCTGTTGCTGTCATAGGGAGGGCCCAATAAGTGGAGAGAGGGCAGAATTAATGCAGGGAGTTGTTTGTTCATGGAGTCATGGGGATGGGAAATAAGGTTTTCCCCTGACCCTGGGGCACAGCATGTGTGGCATATAAGTGCTTGGTGGATGAATTGACTCCATTCTCACGGGGATCCCATTACAGATCAGAAGAGATGCACTTGTCTTAAACATCTAGGGACCCAAAGCATCAGCGTTTGTTTATGCTTTCCTTCCTCAGGTCTTCCTTCCTTTCCTGTGTAGCCACCTGTAGTTCTGTGAGGCCACCTCCAAGGGGACTTCTTGTGCCAAGTCCCACGTTCCTTCCCTTCTGATCTGGGCACCTGGAGCCCAAGCCTTCCAATGTGCCACCCGCCTGCTGTCCACCTGGCCCCATTGTCCCTTCCTAGGGTGGACGTGGGAGGTAGAGGCTATCCTCAGGACTTCCGAGGATAGCTGACATGCCCTCTGCTTCTGTTCTTAGGTTGTCCATTCTCAGATTAAAAACCTAGAAATGTACAAGGCAGACAAAAGTGCGATGGAGCAGGAGCTGAAAGAGGTGAGTGAGCAGAGATTCCTCTCCCTACCCCCTCCCCTATCCTGAGCCCAGCTTTCCCACCAGGATAATGGAATCATCCAGCCAAGACAAAGGCAGGCAGACTTCCGGAGTCTCCTTCCACCTTTATCATATAGAAAGTTTGGGGGAAGTTCTCAAAAGTTGTTCCATCAAGTCCTATTTTCAGTTAACTCAGGATTAGTGACAATTTTTTAAAATTGAAGTATAGTCGATTTACAATGTTATGTTAATTACTGTTGTACAGTAAAGTGATTCAGTTATACATATACATATACATTCTTTTTTTAACATTGTTTTCCATTATAGTTTATCATAGGATATTGAATATAGTTCTCTGTGCTATACAGTAGGACCTTCTTGTTTATCCATCCTATATATAATAGTTACATCCCATTCCATCCATCCCCCAACCCCCTCCCCCTTCGCAACCACTAGTCTGTTCTCTATGTCCATGACTCTGTTTCTGTTTCATATATAGGTTCATTTGTGTCATATTTTAGATTCCACATATAAGTGATATCATATGGTATTTGTCTTTCTCTTTCTGACTTCACTTACTATGATAATCTCTAGTTGCATCCATGTTGCGCTGCAAATGGCATTATTTTGTTCTTTTTAATGCTGAGCAATATTCCATTGTATATATGTACCACATCTTCTTTATCCATTCATCTGTTGATGGACATTTAGGTTGTTTCCATGTCTTGGCTATTGTGAGTAGTGCTGCTATGAACATAGAGTGCATGTATCTTTTTGAATTAGAGTTTGTGACAATTTATGTGAATTTAAAAACCATGCCCCAACTTCTCCATCACAGAAAACCTTTGCTTCAATCTAATGGTTGTGTTTGAGCCAACAGAGACCCCAAGGTTGAATTTAAGCCAAGGCTGGGTATCTAGGGTCCCAAACTAGAAAAACTGACCAAAGTGGTCTGATCTCCCCCAGCCTCTTCCTGCTCCCACCCCAGCAGCCCTGCCTCCCTGAGTCCCATCTCTCTCTAGAAAGCCGACAGGCGCTCCCTGGCAGGCAAGGGAAGCCGGGCTGACCTGGACGCAGTGACGATGGAGCTGAATGAGACAATTCAGGGCATGCTTTTCAGGGTTATGGCCAATGAGGATGACTGGAAGAAGACTGTGGAGCAGCTGGACAAAGACCTATGCACCAAGGTGAGGACCCCTGTATTAGTCACCACCTTCTGCGTAACAAACTACCCTGAAATTTAGTCCCTTAAGACAGCAAACGTTCAGAGTTTCTGAGGGTTAAGAATTTGGGAACAGCTTAGCTGAGTAGCTCAGGGTCTCCCACGAGGCTGTAGTCAGGATGTCATCCAGGGCTGCTGTCATATGAAGGCTTGACTGGAGCTGGAAGAGCTGCTTCCAAGATGGCGCCTTCACATGGCTGTGGGCAAGACTCCTCACTTCCTTATCACACGGATCCTCCTTGGGGCTGCTTGACTGGCCTCACAACATGGCAGCCAGTGGGCCACCCAGAGCACATGGTCCAAGAGAGCAAGACAGAAGCTGCAACATCTTTGATGACTTAGCCACAGAAGTCACACTCCATCATTTCTGTAGTATCCTGTTGGTTACACAGGTCAGCCCTGTTCAGTGCGAGAGGGGACCATATGGGGGTGTGAATACCAAGAGGTATAGTTGCGGAGCATCTTGGAGGCTGACCACCATAACGCAAGCAAAGGGACATGGCGGGCAGAGGGGGTGTCCTGCTGGTCATTCGTTTATTCATCATTTAATGATCACCTGTGTTGAGCCAGACCCTGGGGAAATGTTGATAAGAAGTCATAGCCTTAATGTGTACCATCCAATAGAGAGACAGGAACAGTCAGGCCAGCCATTTCAGTGTTGTGTGGTTACTGCAGCTGGGGTGGCTGGTGAGGACAAAAGAGCTTGGGTTTAGAATCAGGCAGCTCTGGGTCCGAGTTGCAGCCCCACCATGATTGGCAGTATGCCTTGAGTTATAGAACCTCTTCGAGCCTCAGTTTTTTCATCTGTAAAATGAGGATTTATTCACTCATCATCCACCTATTGGGTACCTCTGATGCTGGTTAGCGAGGATATGACGATAAGCAAAACAGATATGGAACACACTTGTCATAGAAATCATACAAATCAATGCAGGATTACAGCCGGGGTAACTCAGTTATCTACAGAACAACTGACCTGTTTTTCTTCCATAATTCAATGGCAGGGTGAAAAAAAGTAGGACAGAGACTGTTCTAGATTAAGAGAGTCTCAAGGCGCACAACAACCAAATGCAACACACGAGGAGACTTACTTTGTTTCCTGGTTCAGTTGCTCCAACTCTGAAAATGGGCTGGGAATTAGATCAACGTCAAGAATGACTGCTCATTATGTTAGATGGGATAATGGTATTGCAGGCATGTAAGAAAATTAACTAAAATATTTGAGTGAAATGTTATGATTTCTGTAACTTTTTAAAAAAACATTCCATCAATTCCCTGGCAGTCCAGTGGTTAGGAGTCTGTGCTTCCACTGCAGGGGGCACGGGTTCGATCCCTGGTTGGGGAACTAAGATCCCACAAGCTGCATGGCATGGAAAAAAAAAAGAAAAGAAACAAAGAAAAAAAGGCAAATGTAGCAACATGTTAATAATGATTAAATCTACATGGTGGGTATATCAGGGTTCATGATTCTAGTCTTTTCTCCTCTCTATGTGTCTGAATTTTTTTCCTGATTGAAAGCTTTTTTGTTGTTTGTTGGTTGAAATGATCCTATCCTCATTGCTCTTCTTTTCATTGTGTATTTTAATTGTGGTAAAATTCACACGACATAAAATTAACCATTAACTATTATAAAGTGACTAATTCTATGGCATTTGTTAAATTCACAATGTTGTGTGGGCACCATTTCTATCTAGTTCCAGAGCATTTCCATCCCCCTAAAGGAAACCCCAGGTCCATCAAGCAGTCACTCCTCATTCCCCCCTCCCCCAGCCCCTGGCAACCACTAATCTACTCTCTGTCTCTGGATTACCCTATTTTGGACATTTCATATAAATGAATCACAGTATGTGACCTTTTGTGTCTGGCTTCTTGCACTCAGCATCATGTTTTCAAGGTTTATTCATGTTGTAACATGAACCAGAACTTCTTTTCTTTTCTTTTCTTTTTTTAATTTTTTTGGCCACACTGCATGGCGTGTGGGATCTTAGTTTTCCAGTCAGGGATTGAACCTGTGCCCCCTGCATTGGAAGGCAGAGTCTTAACCACTGGACCACCAGGGAAGTCCCAGAACTTCATTTCTTTCTAGGCTGAATAATATTCCGTCAAATGGATAGACCACATTTTGTTTGTTTGTTCTTTGTTGATGGACACTTGGGTTATTTCCACCTTTTGAATAATGCTGCTATGAGCATTCACATACAAATTTCTGTTTGAACACCTGTTTTCAGCTACTTTGGGTAGATACCCAGGAGTGGAATTGCTGGGTCGTATGGTAATTCTGTGTTTAAGTTTTTGTGGGGGTGATATATAGTGATGTCTGCAATTAACTCTCAAATGGCTCAGAAAAAAACAAAAACACACATACATATGTATAGAAAAAGAAAACATGACAAAATGTTAAAAATTGGTGAATTTCAGTGGATATAGGAGTGTCCTTTGGACTATTCTTGCAACTTTTCTGTAGGTTTAAAAGTTTTTGAGGGGGGGCTTCCCTGGTGGCACAGTAGTTAAGAATCCACCTGCCAATGCAGGGGACACGGGTTTGATCCCTGGTCCAGGAAGATCCCATGTGCCGCGGAGCAACTAAGCCCGTGTGCCACAACTACTGAGCCTGCGCTCTAGAGCCCGCGAGCCACAGCTACTGAAGCCTGCGTGGCTAGAGCCTGTGCTCCACAACAAGAGAAGCCACCGCAATGAGAGGCCCGCGCACCACAACAAAGAGTAGCCCCCCCTTGCCACAACTAGAGAAAGCCCGTGCGCAGCAACGAAGACCCAATGCAGCCAAAAATAGATAAATAAAATAAATTAATTAAAAAAAAAGTTTTTGAGGAACTTCCCTGGTGGTCCACTGGTTAAGAATCCGCCTTCCAATGCAGGGGACGCGGGTTCAATCCCTGGTCTGGGAACTAAGGTCCCACATGCCACGGGGCAACTAAGCCTGTGTGCCACAAATACTGAGCCTGCATGCCACAACTAGAGAGCTCACATGCCGCAGCTACAGAGCCCGTGTGCTCTGGAGCCCATGTGCCACAACTACAGAGAAGTCCGCATGCCACAACGAAGAGCCCATGCCCTGCAACAAAAGATCCCTCATGCTGCAACTAAGACCCAACGCAGCCAAAAATAAATAATTTTTTTTGAGTTTTTTTAAGTTTAGAATGTTGGGGAAAAGAATCTTCTTGGTATGCCATGCACTTCCTGTAGTGTTTGATTAGCAGGTAAGTCGATGCTGGCAGGTGATCCCTTCCGGAGTGAAGATTCGTCAGGGCCCAGCGGTGCTAGCCCAGCTGATACCACCAGTGTAAACGTATATTCTCCCCTTATAAGCAACAAGTAATTTGGGGGTGACTCTCTGTCACTCTGGGAATGGCCATTGCCTCGTTGGCCATTCTCCTGGTATTGATAGTTTCCTCCTAAGTTAAGGATTGTTGCCTGAACCCATTATTTCATTAAGGGTTACAAAATGGTGATTTTCCTAATCCTAGCATTGCTTCTATATCAGCTAGAAATCTGTAAAGAAGAGCTTTCCCTCATCAACTTGAGCTGATAACCCTGAAATAGGGTTCTTGCAGGAAAGACAGATAATGGTGAATTATTTCCTTTAATTACCGGTTTTCAGGGTAAAATATTGGTGCGGTAGCCACCTCCCATACATGGCGGCAAATGAGGGTTTCTATTTTTTTTCTTTTTTGTGGGTGTCACTATGAATCATGAGTTTTTAAATATTCACTTTGTTCAATCAGTTAAGTTACTGTTTTGTCGCTCACATGGTCTCATCTTAGGCTTGCAAGCTGACCCCTGAGCCCCTTGACGTGACCCTGTGTCTTGGATAGCTGTCCTGCTTTCTTATGACAAGATGTTCCAGGCTCATCTTCTACATTCCCTTCCTCAGACCTGAATCAGCCATTTCTCTGTGGAGTCTTGGTGCCTTTGGGGGGAATGGTGTTTAGGGACCAAAATCTGGGCACTGGAAGGAACACTTTAAAAATTCAAAATTCCCGCCATGGAAAAGAGTCTGGCAGTTTCTTAAAAGTTAGGCATAGAGTCGCCATACGACCCAGCACTCCCACTCCTAGGTAGATACCCAAGAGAAATGAAAACAGCCCACAAAAAAAACTTGCACACCAATGTTCACAGCAGCATTTTCCACAATAGCTAAAAGGTGGAAACAACCCAAATGTCCATCAACAGATAAATGGATAAACACAATGTGGTATATCCATATAATGAACATTATTCAGCCATAAAAAGGAATGAAGTACAGCTACACACTACAACATGGATGAACCTTGAAAACATGATGCTGAATGAAAGAACCCAGACACAAAAGGACACAGATTGTGTGGTTCCATTTATCTGGAGTGTCCAGAATAGACATATAGACAAATCCATAGAGACAGAAAGACAAATAGACAAATCCATAGAGACACAAAGTAGATTAGTGGTTGCCTACGCCTGGGGGTTTGGGATGAAAAGAAAGGTGACTGCTAAGGGGTATGAGATTTCTTTTGCGATGATGAAAACATTTTAAAACTGATTGTGGTGATGGTTGCACAGCTCTGTGAATGTACTAAAAGCCGTTGAATATACACTTTACACTCATTAAATAGGTGTTGAATGCGTGAAGGTCAGGTGTCTTGGAACCATCAGGAGAATGTTTCTCGGGCCTGCACTCAGAATAGCAGTGGGGTTGGTTTGTCTTTTGGAGGCAGTAACTGATGGTGTTTCCTTGCCTTGGCTGCCGGGAAGCTCACTTTGCAGCTCCCCTCCAGGAAGAGCATGCATTACGGGTCTGAGCCTTAACCCAAGCGTTGTCATTTTCCCTTTCCTTCACCACTTCACTTTTCTTGATTAATCTTGTTACACTCTACATAACTTTGCAAGTTGCTGCAAATCCTTTTCTGGAGCAAGGCAGAGTGTGAATTAATTGACTAAAGTCTCTTTTCTTCCTTTGGCTGTTCACAGCTGGTTCCCAGTGATTTGGACGATCTGAAGAAAGACATGGATGAGGTCTGGAAAGTAGTCAGGAAGCTGCTGATTGAAGGCTTCTGGTTTGACCCCGACAGTGCTGCCGGCTTTAGGAAGTGAGCCTCTCCCGGATAGGGGTGCAGCTCCCAGAGGCTAGGAGTCTCTCTTTCCAGAGAGGAAACAAGAGGGGCATCCCAGTGGATTCTGAACTCTGGGAGGAAGGATTTCAGACCTGTGGACCCAGAGAGAGGGGGCGGGGCTTCCCAGCTGCTGGGTTGGGCGATGGGGCTGCGAGCACCCAGGGGCTCAGAGGTGGGCAGGCCTGCCCTTGAGTGCAGAGGGGGCTCCAGGTGCTCATGTGAAGAAACCTAGGCTCAGAGAGGGAAGGGGCTCCCCAGAGGGAACCTGGGCAGATCTGGGACTAGAGCCAGGCCCCCACCCCCTCCAGACAGAGCTCCAGGCAGAGGGACTTGATGTTCCTGGGGGGGCTCCTGTCCTCAGATCACCCCTCATGCTCCCAAATGTCCACGGTGAAGAGTAGCTTTCCCTGGTTTTAAAGACCTCCTTTGTGTTTGGGGCAAGGAGAGAAACTAAACACGCTTTTACGCCTGCTGCTGCCCCAAGTGGCCGCACATGGGGGTCAGCAGGGGCCAGTAGAGCTGAGCTGAGCGCAGGGGCTGGGCCAGTGGGTGTAGGATGTGGGGGAAGCCCTGGCCCTGAGGCACAGATGGACCTGCAGCCTCCGCCGCAAGCACTGCCTGGGGCAGGCGTGGCCTTGTAGGGCCTGGCTTGGCGCAGCAGCTGACGGAGCTGGGTGTCTTCCAGGAAACTGTTTGAGTAGGTGAAATGTATCTCCGGCCACCGGCCTGTGAAGATGATGACCAGCCCGTGAGTACCGCCGGGGATCATCTGTGACGTGTACATCCGTGTACACCGTTCTATACACATCATTTCATTAGCCTCCGACCTGGGCAAGGTGCTAGCATCCCTCCCTTCACCAGCCCTGTCTGGTGCCTGCTGTGTCCAGGGGCAGGGTCAACTCCAAAAGGAAAAGGATGAAAGGAAACTCTGGGGAAAAGCTGAACTTTGTGGGACTTCCTTGCACATATTTTTATAGTCTAATACTTTTGTTTATTTATCAAGGTGAAATTCACTTATAAAATCAACCATTTTAAAGTGAACAGTTCAGTGGGATTTAGTGCACATTCACCTCTAATTCAAAAATATTTCCATCTCCCCCAGGAAATCCTGACCCGTCAGCACTTACTCCCATTCCCCTCCCCCAGCCCCTGACAACCACCAATCTACTCACTCTCTCTACGGATCGGCCTGTTCTAGACGTTTCGTATAAATGGAATCATACAATATGTGGCCTTGTGTGTCTGGCTTCTTTCACTGAGCATGATGTTTTCAAGGTTCATTTGCATTGTAGCCTGTGTCAGTGATTCATTCCATTTTATGGCTGAATAATATCCCACTGTGTGGACACACCTAGGATCTTGCAGTGCCCATGGCCTCTGCGCTGCTAGGCTGTTCCTGGTGACCCATGAAGCTCACCACCCCACACCTGGCCATGTTGGGAGATACAGCCAGAATTTTTCCTTCAAAATCGCAGCATTATTTATAATATTTTTATTGAAGTGTAGTTGATTTACAATGTTGTGTTAGTTTCAGGTGTACAGCAAAGTGATTCAGATATATATATATATATATATATATATATATATACACACACACATTTTCAGATTATTTTCCTTTATAGGTTATTACAAGTTATTGAGTAGAGTTCCCTGTGCTATACAGTAGGTCCTTGTTGGTTATCTGTTTTATATATAGTGGTGTGTATATGTTAATCCCAAACTCCTAATTTATCCCTCCCTGCCCCATATTTTTTTTTTTCAAAAAAAGAGGAAAGGAAACAACCTGAAGTGGTGAGTGAGTCACGGTACGTTCACATCAGCCATTAAGGCAAGTCGTAGAGGAAGGCCTTACGTAGAACCTTCTGAGATGTGGGGGGGTATGTTCCATAGCTGTGCTGTCCAGTGAAGTAGCCACTGGCCACATTTGACTGTGGAGCACTTGAAAGATGGCTAATGAGACAGAGAAACTGAATTTTAAATTTTATTTAAATTTAGTTAATATGGGGAATTCCCTGGTGGTCCATTGGTTAGTACTCTGTGCTTCCACTGCAGGGGGCACGGGTTCTATTCCTGGTTGGGGAACTAAGATCCCACATGCCACATGGCATGGCCGAAAATAAATAAATTAATAAAAATTTAAAAATAAATCTAGTTAATTTAAATAGCCACATGTGGCCAGTGGCTGCCATATTGGACAGCACAGTCACAAAAGAATGTTTAATGACCTGGAAAAACGTTTGCAGTAACTTAAATGAGAAAAACAAGTAGGATGTGTGTTATGATCCTATTTTTGTTAAAAAAAAAAATAAACATGGAAAAATACTGGAAGGACACATATCAAAATACTTGATTACAGTGGTTACGGTGATTTCTTTGTGTTTTTCTATACTTTCTAAAATGCTGACAACATGCATGACTTTAAATTTTTATTGAGGCTTAACATGCATACAGTAAAGTATGTAAACGTTTGTTTTACAACTTGATGGGTTTTAACAGGTGTACACACCTTGGTAACCACCACTCAGATCAAGAAGTAGAACAGTTCCAGCTCCTCAGAAGGCTGATGTTTTACTATTTTTATTTCTTGTACTGAGGTCAGATACACATAATATAAATTAACCATTTTAAAGTTAACAGTTCGGGGCATTTAGTACATTGACAATATTGTGCCGCCACCACCTCGGACAATCTAGTGCCAGAACCTTTCCACCCACCGGAAGGAAACCCCGTGCCCATAAGCAATCATTCCCCATCCCCCTCCACCCACCCCTGCCAACCTCCAACCTGCATCCCACTTCTAGGACTCACGTGTTCGGGGGTTTTCCTTTTATTATCAGAACAGCTGTTCTTTATGATTTATGAAGAGGATGGTGGCCCCATGCTGTGGATCTTTCTAGAGGTAAGGCTGTGTTTGAGGGCGAGCTTCCTGGAAGAGGTGGAAGCTGGGCCCTCTGCTGGCCACGTGCGCCTCCGACTTAGCTCTTGTCCTCCACAGGCAACTCATCACCATCCGCAGTGCCCGCCTGCTGTCGCGGCTGCGGCCGGCCAGCGCCAACAGCTACGAGTACCTGCAGCGGCAACAGGTGAGGTGAGCAGATGGGGGTCCAGGCGCCAACAGAGACGCAAACTCCAGTTCCAAGATGCAAAGGCTGTCCGGGGCATTGTAGCCGTCTGCAGGGGAGCCGTCCTGGGTGGTGGGGCTGCAGACGGGCACGTGAGGTGCTCATGGGGAGAGGAACGGACAGGTTATTGGGCATCTGCCATGGGCCAAGAACTGTTAAGGGAGGGAGCTCACACCCCCCATTTAAAGCTCACACCCCCCTGTGAGCTAGGGTTGATGGGCCTGCTTCCAGCTGGAAGAAGTGACTCATGACCCTGGGTCCTCTGTGGGGCTTGCTGCGGCCGGGCAGGCACTGTGCCAACCTCTGTGACAGACCTGACCTCGTTGAATCCTTACACATTATCTCTGAGGTCATTCTGCTATCATCCCATTTCACAGTTGAAACCGAGGCTCAAAGAGCTTGAGCAACCCACCCGAGGTCTCACAGCTAGTGAGTGGCGGGCTCTGGCACCTAAACCTGCAGGTTTCCTCTGCCCACGGCTAGCTCCCTGGGCCCCAGCCCTGCCCCTCATCCCCTGACACCCCACAGCTTCATGGGTGCTTCTGGCTCCCAGGCCCCCAGGCCCGAGGGTACGTCTGGCCAGGTGGGGAGTGATGGCTGAATAGCAGCCACAGCCACATGAAGGGGAGGGACATGGGGCCATGTGGCTGGTGCCCCCACCCTCACTCGCCTGACTCCCTCTTGGGATGAGAGGTTAAGAGGGACTTTCCTGGCGGTCCAGTGGTTAAGACTCTGCGCTTCCACTGCAGGGGGCGCCGGTTTGATCCCTGGTCAGGGAACTAAGATCCTACATGCCGCTCAGTGTGGCCAAAAAAAAAAAAAAGAAAGAGGTTAAGAGCCTGCATTTGACAAGCCAGACCAGGGCTCCAGGTCTGGGAGAACATGGGTCTCAATTGCCCTCTGCCCCGACGGTGCCTGTCTGTACCCACACACCAGGCCCCAGGCCTGCCCGGCTGCATTACCCAAGTTGAAGCTGGAAGAAATTCCAGTCTTCCCTCGCTACTGGCCAGGCCCTCGGACCCAACCTGAGGCTCCTCTGGGGCGGAGGGGTCTCCAAGTGGCTGCTGACCCCCCTGCCCTGCCCCGGGGAACAGCAGCAGCTGCAGAAGCTCCAGAACCTTGCAGCCCTGGAGGGGAGCCTGGACTCGCTGGGCTCCCAGCAGGACTGGGGTGATGGCCCCGGAAATGATGCCAACCTTGATTTCAAATCATGTAACTTGTCGACAATCTACCCCTACAGGGACCCTGAGTTGTTGGACTATGATTCCATGAGTCAGGCTGCAGCCTCTGGCGGTGGGCAGCCCTGGGGTAAGCCAGGCCCTGCTACCTCTGTGAACACTCCCTTACCCGGGGCCCCGGGCCGCCCAACAGGCCGAGGTGGACATCCTGGGAGTGGACGGGATCCTGTACAAGGGCCGAATGAACAGCAAGGACAGGGCGCGGCCTCTGACCGACACAGAGAAGGAGCTGGCAGGTGAGGAGCATCAGGCCTTCTTGGGCACCCCTGACCCGTGCCCTGCCTTTGCTGGGCATTGTGAGGCCCAGTGTGATGCAGGTGGGGCCCAGAGCCGGCAACATCCGAGACTGGGGGCTCCTCACACAGCCACTCGCAAACATGGGATCCTGCTCTATGCCAGGCACTGTACTGGGACAGCTTGTGACAAGGGATGCTGGGGAGGGGTACTGGATGGCCTCCCCAAAGAAGAATGCTGGGTGGTGATGGGAGAGTTGTGACAAGGGACACTGGTTCAAGGAGGAGGTCCTAGACTGCTGTCCTGAGGCCTCTGAAAAGGGAATAAGGCTTAGCTGGATAAAGGGATCAGGTGGGAGGAGAGTGATCTGGGGGAAGGGAATAGCAGTGCAAAGGCCCTGTGGTGGGTGGAAGGCAGGCACACTTAGGAACTCGGGAAGGTGAGTCTACCTGGAGTGGGAAGATCGGGCTGGGGTTGAGCATGATGAGGAGGACGCCAGGACAGACTGGAGGCCTGTGTCCTAATTGTCACGGGTTGGGGAGGGTTGGGCCAGAGGGAGACATGGAATGAATTGCTCTGGTTACTGCAGTGTCGAGGCCCTGGCTCCAGCTGGCTCCGACCAGGGACCCCGGGACTCAGCTCCTGCACTGGGCCAGCAATACCTTCTCTGCCTGCCCCTTTGAGGTTACCCTGCTCTGGGAAGAGGGGTTCCACACACTGCCCTACTGGGGCTGGTTCAGGAGCCACAAAGTGGTCAGCGGGTTAAATTCCGCCCATGGTGTCCCTCCTCACCCCACTTTGCCTCCATTGACTTGAGAACAACCACCAGACCCCTAAGCAAAGGAAAGGAGACTCTTTTCCTGGGTGTGCTGGACAGAGAGGACAGCACCCTGCTTTAGTGTCCGGGGGCTGCAACAAATGACCACCAATTGGGCGGCTTAAGACAATAGAAATTAACTCTCATAGTACAGGAGGCCAGAAATCCAAAATCAAGGTGTTGGCAGGGCCGTGCTCCCTCTGAAGGCCCTAGTGGAGGATCCTTTCTGCCTCTTCCAGCTTCTGGGAGCTCCAGGCATTTCTGGGTTTGTGGCTGCATCACCCCCGTCTCTGCCTCCTTCTTCGTGTGGCTTCTCCCTGTGTCTTCTTCTCTTCTGTCTCTTAACTCAGATGCCCTCATCTGAAGATCCTTCACTTAATTACATCTGCAGAGACCTTTTCTTTAAACAAGGTCACATTCACAGGTTCCAGGGGGACACATCTTTTGGGCAGCTGCCATTCAACCCACTACAGGCCCCTGCCCTGGTCCAGGGGGCAGGTCACCATCTTGAACCCTGCATTCCCCCTGGGGCACAGATGTGGCCCTTACAGTGTTAATGGCTCCACCTGGACGATGCCCCCGGACGCAGATGCTGTCGAGAAGAAACTCAGGCTGGGCCCCTGGGATCACCAGGCAGGATAACAGCAATGGTGGCCAATATTTAATGAGCTCAACTTCTTGCCAGGCCCTGCACTGCCTCCTCTCACCCTGCACCAGCTGGTGACGCATTACACAAATGAGCGGGTGAGGGTCTCTTGCCAGGAGCCCACCCTTGGTGGAGGGGTCAGGGTCATCTACAGACCCGCCCTTGGTCTCCAGTCATCCATCGGATGGCGTCCCCACCCAGCTCCCCAGGGCTGTCATCAAGAGCAAGGGGCTCTTCTCCCCAGGGCTTGTTTGTTCTCCAGACCCATGCAGCCAAAGCAGGAGTAGATCAGGATGCCTCAATTGCTTTATCCTGCTTGGGGGCCACAAAGTCTAACTAGAAATTGGAATCAATTCGAAACCCACCTGTGGCTGGATCTTTTGACCAGTTTGTCTTATTGCTCATTTTTTTACTCAAAAGAAAATTCTAATCCAAAACACACTCAATATCTAAACCTAAACTAGCTGATGTGAGCCCCCCTCCCAGGTCCAGCCTGATCCCAGATGCATCCATCCATCCTTTGCCCACAGGGCCACCAAGGGCCGTCCAGCCAGCCTGTGCCCTCCTGATGCCTGCACAGTAGTCAGGATCTCAGGCCGGGCAGAGGAACCCTTGATCCCTAGTAAGCAGTGCCCGCAGCATGAGGCTGGACTTCCAGAGAGGTCTCAATGGAAGGGGGCTAAGTACAGGCAGGGCTCAGGTAGGCAGAGGCAGCAGGGGAGCAGATGGAGGGGGAGATGCCTCACCAGCCTTACCGTCCTCACCAGCACTGAGTGAATGGTCGCAAACCTGCTCCTGACCAGGCCCCTCCCCCGCTCAGAACCCGGCAGGGTGAGTGTCCTATGGCTGCTGTAACATTACCACAAACAGGGGCTTAAAACTATCCAAGTTTGTTTTATCTTAGTTCTGGAGATCAAATCAGAAGTGAATCTTACAGGGCTAAGATCGAGGTGTCTGCAGGGCTGGTTCCTTCTGAGGCTCAAGGGGAGACTCTGTGTCCTTCCAGAGGCCTCCCACATTCCTTGGCTCGTGGCCCCTTCTGCCATCTTCAAAGTGCATCTCTCTGACCTCAGTGTCCGTCCTCACATCTCCTTCTCTGACTCTGAACCTCTGGCCTCCCCTCATAAGAATCTTGCAATTACATTGGACCCATCCAGTTAATCCAAGATCATTTCCCCATCTCAAGATCCTTAACTTGATAACATTTACAAAGCCCCCTCTGCCATGTGAGGTGACATAGTCACAGGTTCTGGGGATTAGGACAGGGATGTCTTGGGGTGCATTGTCCCCAGAGTCCGATCTCCTTGGCTGGTCTGCAGGGCCCCTTGGCCACTCCCCGCCCCAGCCTCGTCTGCTCCCTGCCTCCAGCCTCCCAGAACTGCTTGCTTGGGCTTCCCTGGTGGCGCAGTCGTTGAGAGTCCGCCTGCTGATGCAGGGGACACGGGCTTGTGCTCCGGTCCAGGAGGATCCCACATGCCGCGGAGCGGCTGGGCCCGTGAGCCATGGCCGCTGAGCCTGCGCGTCCGGAGCCTGTGCTCTGCAACGGGAGAGGCCACAACAGTGAGAGGCCCGTGTACCACAAAAACAAAAAACAAAACAAAACTGCTTGCTTGCTCTCTCAACGATGCAGGCTGTTACCCCCGTCTGAGCCCCTGCATGTGCCATGTGCTCTGCCTGGAATCCCTGGGGAACCTTTCTCATCTGCCAGGGCTCAAATGTCCCCTCCCGTCGGCAAGCTCCCAGCTGCTTGGCTTTTGGCTCTTGCAGAGGTGGGAAAGCCGTGGAGGAGATCGTGGGAGAAGCAGATATTGGGGTCAGGTGGCAAGTTCCGGTTTGGGCCTCTGCATCCAATGTGTCTGTGGGCCTTCAAGGAGAGTGCAGGCTCAGAGCTGGGTTCCCAGGCCTCAGTGGGTCTTGGTTTTGAATCTGTATCCCAGGCTCATGTGCTTCACCTTGGAGGGAAGCAGTATGACAGTCTCACTGGTTGGCAGGTCCTACCTCTGGCGCGGGTTCAATCCCTGGTCGGGGAACTAAGATCCCACAAGCCGTGCAGTGTGGCCAAAAGAAAAAAAGATGAAACATGGAAATAAGGGAGAGAATGACTGGGGTCGGGAGGTTGTCCCTGTGGAGCATGTGGTCTGAAGGACTCTCTGAAAATGCAGGTCAGGAGACAGCCAGGGAAGGACACAGTCGTCCAAGCAGAAGGAACCGTCGGGGTCCTGCATGGGAAGGAGCTTCGTGCCCCTGTAATTCGTCCCAGGTGGGAGGCCTGGCCCATCCCCTCCAGACCTGGTGCCCTGCTCAGCCGTCTGCGACCCCCCCAACACCACCCCCACCCCCATCCTTCCTGCATATTCACTCTCATGGCCTCTTTTCCCTGCACTTTCCCACCTCGTACAGCGGTCTCTGGTCCGGATGGCCGGTCATGGTGACTCTTGGCTGGACGGGGAGAAAGGGACGCCTTGGGTTCAAAAGTGAAGGATGGAGCCAGACTCCAAAGGCCACATATTGTGTGACCCCGCCCCCCCATGATGTGTCCAGAACAGGCAAATTACAGAGACAGAAAACAGATTAGCGGTTGCTGGGTGTTCGGGGGAGGGGTGAATGGGTGTGTGTGTGACTGCCTCATGGGTACAGGTTTCTTTTGGGCGTGATGAAGTATTCTGGAACCAGAAGGAGATGGCAGTTGCAAAGCCTTGTGAATACACTTAATGCCACTGAATTGTTCACTTTGAATGGTTAATTTTATGTGAAGTTTACCTCAGAAAAATGTGCATGCACAGAAGATGAAGGCCAGGAAGGTGGGGTGGGGCACTGTGGTGGCCTGGTCCTGGTGGGAACAGCTGAAGAACTGTCAGGCTGGCCAGCACGTCACCTGTATCTTTTCATGCTAAAATAATGTCTCTCTCCTCCTTGGCCTTGAGTTAGTTTCAAAAAGCCTTTTTCTGACATCTCAGCTTTTAGAAGCGCTAGACTTACGAAGGTGGGGAGGGAGGAAGGGTCTTCCTTGCATGACTGGGTGGGGATTTGGTATGTGAAGAGGCGGCAGGGGGTAGTGGGGCGGGGGGCAGCAGGGCAGGTCCCACCAGAGCGAAAGGGCCTCCAGGGTGGGGCAGAGCCCTGGAAGTGCCCCCCACCAGCTCCTGTCTCTTCCCCTTTCTTTTCCACCAAGTTGTTAAGGTTCCGCATCCCCCAGCTCGAAGCCCATATGAGGGTGCGCGCCCGAGTGCCTTATTTTGTGCCATCTACCTCTGTGAGTACCTGCCCCCCAACTCCCTGGCCCAGCTGGGACTCTTGCAGGGTCTCTGGGCCCCCAGTCCCAGCCTGGGGCTCTCCTACCCCACCTCATCCATATCTCACCTGCCCTGCCCGGACCTGGGCCAGAGAAGATCCCTCGAGTGGCCCCCACCTGGCACCCAGCACCCTGGCCAGGGCCTTCAGCCGTCCTGGGCTCCACCTTTACCCTTCAGCCAGGTTTCCTGGCCCAGGAGCCATCCCTGGGGTCCAAGCCAGGTGTCTGTGCCCTGGGGTCCAGCCGGCTGCAGAGCTGGGATGAGGGAGCCTGTTCATTCCCTCGGGCCTCTCTGTTGAGGGCCCGTGAGCCAAGTTGGGGGCAACTGAGCTCATGACTCCTCTGGTCACATCACCACGTACCAGACATCTGAGAGCACTTTACAGCATACAAAGCACTTCCTACCTTCTCATCTCACCCAGTCCTTATCCCATTAACCAGGATGCTGAGGTGAGCACAGCTAGCCCATTTTAAAGTGGGGGAGCTGAGGCGCACGACCGTGAACTGGGGAATGCAAGAGCTGGGCCAAAGCCCAGATCCTGGACTCCAAGTCCTGTGTCCTCTCGGCTGCCCTGCTCCACTTCTGTGTCCACCTCTGGTTTCATTTATCTTGGGCCGCCCCCCAAACCCAGGAAGTGTCAGGTGCCTGGACTGGGTGAGCAGAGGTGGAGCACTTCCAGTCTTGGGGCTTCTCTTCTCCTTAGTGGAGAAGATGACCCCATCGGGCCAGCCTCTCTCCAGAATATTCCTGGGACACATCATGGGTCTCTCCTGCCCCCCAGCAGCCTGCCCCCCCAAACCAGCATGGGCTCAGCCACCTCAGGCCCCCAGCCGACATGCCAGCTCAGCCTTCGTCTCTGCCTCCCCTGCCACTGCTGCCACAGCTGATGCCATCCCTGCAGGATCCCCAGCCGGCCGCAGGGCCTGCCGGGCACCCAAGGCCTCTGCGCCTTGAGTCCCAAGCCGGCATGCGGTCCGCCAAGGAGCCCACCAAGCTGTGAGCCTGCAGTGCCAGCGTCGCCCCCTCCCCCCAGCAGGTGGAGACCCTGCCCTGAGCCTAGTCTGGGGAAGGTGCAGGGGCCCTGGACTTAGGGGAGGGTCTCCATAAGGAGCTCATTTTGATCCAGTAGCTGTTTTAACTCTCATATAAATATCTGTAACACGATCCTTCTCATGCTATGTTTCATGGAGAACACAGCTTTCTAGATTGAACTTCCCACTAAACCAATTTAATTCCTTGACCAATTTTCAATACAACACAAAGTGGTTTTAAAAACAATCAATTTCCTTTTTATTTTGCTGAAATGATTTTATCAGAATCAGTTCCAATTACAGCTAACGCCACTGTCCATTTTCTTTGGGGACCATTATTTCTACCAGGACCAATTTTCTCATGGGAACCACATTTTATTGCATGCATGGTTTTTTATTGTCTGTTGATTGTTCCCACCAGTAATTACTGTTATGAGTTGGATATTTAAAGAACCTGATTGTTTGTATTTACTTCTGGCTAATCCATGAGGCACTTGGAGCAATGGCCCTGGAATCCTCCAGGACCGCTCTGTCCTGTTTGGCATCTTTCTGCCTCTTTGGTTCCCGCGCTCACTGCCTATGCACTTGGTGGGGGGGGGGGTGTTAAAGCGTCCTGATTTGGGGTTCAGAGCCTGGCCTGCTCACTCCTGCCTGGCGGGTCCTGCAGCCTGGCATGGTTTCTGCCCCTTGGACGGTTTACTGGTCTCTCCTTCTCCGTTTCGCGTTTTCTCTCTTTCCACCCCCTAGGTTGTCCAGTTGCGCCCTCTACCCTTTCTGTGCTTCTGATACTTCTATCACATTCCACAAAGACTAAAAAAAAAAAATTTCCCTCTGAATAGTTTTGGGGCATGGCTCCCCCAAACATCCACCAGAGGCTCCTGGAGCGAGTCAGGGAGTAGGGTGGGCAAGCTGCCCGGGGGTCCGCCCTGGGGGAGCCAGGGTGCTGGCATGGAGGAGGGTTCTCTGGACGGGCAGCCAAAGGAGTCCTGGATGCTGCGTGCCTGCCCCTCCCCACCAGTTGTCCCCCAGCCCTGCCTCTCCCTCCCCCTGCTCCTCACCTGCAACCACTCCTGACTTCTCTTTTCTTTCTCCAAGGACTGTGTCCAAATGAGGCCGAGCTCTTCCTGACCCAGGTGACCGACACCGCCTTGGGGGATACTGGCCAGTGCATCTCTGTCCCCACCCCCATATCACAGATGAGTGTTTTTGTCAGCTTCTCCCCAGAATAAAATCTTTCACTTTTCTGATCGTGGATAAGGGTGACTGGCCCCACGCCCTCTGCGAGGGGAGGCCTTGCCAGTCCCACATGGGTGGGTGGACCTGCCAGTCCTTCCTCGGGCCATCAGCCCAGGGTCAGCCTCCCAGAACCACTGTCCAGAACCACCATGGCTGAGTCTCAGCAGAGAATCACAACAAACCGCCCCTCCCCCATCACGTTGGTTGCCCCGTGGCAAAGCGCCCCGTGTGGCCCTGGTCCTGTGTGGTGGGCAGATCACGGGCCTGTGGGAGGGGCAGTGGTGTGACTTGCCCAGGGTCACACAGTGAGGCCTTAGCTCTCCGGCCACCTGCCCAGAAGGCTGTACTTCTTGGGTGGGTGCTGTACACAGGTATGAGGGGTCCAACTTTCAGGAAAAGGAGGTGTGGCCTGGGCTCGGGCAGATGGAGAGGTGGGGGCTTTTAGGGACACGCCCATGCCAGGTGTGGTCAGGCTTGTCTCCTGCACTGCAGCCTTGACATGTGTGGAACCACAGGCATCCAAGCCCTGCTCTTTCAGCCCCTCATAGCTGCCTTCCCAGCCCATTTCTCAGATTTACCAATGGAATCAGTGCTTGTGGGTTCCTGCAGCCCAGGGAGCGAGGAGCAAGACCCAGGTAGGTCACTGTGTAACCATTTTCATACTGACAGGCCTACTGGGTGCTTTGAAAGGTGGGGAACCATGAACCCAACTGCAGCCAGCCAGGAGCCATCTTGAAGATAACAGTTCTATCTCCCGTGGGGGTTGGTAGGGAAGCCAACCTTTGACCTGATCCCAGGTGGGAGGTGCAGGCAGGATCTTTGCCAAGGACAAGGCTTGCCTATTCTAGCCCCACCCCCGGGGGTGGGACCTGCAGGTCTTGGCAGCTGGGAGGGAGGTACTGCACCTACTCCTGGGGCTGCTGCTCAGAAGGGTGGCCCACCCCATCCCAGCAGGGGAAGGTGCTTGGGGAGCAGACAGAACTGGGGATGGGGTCAGTAGAGTGGGAATTTTTGGAGGCCCTGGGTCCAGCTTCCTCTTCTGCAGGGGGGACCACAGCTCCTGGCCTGGGACACAGTGGCAGGGCCAAGCTGGACAAGGAGTAGGGTGACCAACCATCCTGGTCTGCCTGGGAGTGAAGGGGATCCCTGGAACTTTCAGTTTGAAGACCAAGAAGGAATTCCCTGGTGGTCCAGTGGATAGGACTCCGGGCTTTCACTGCCAAGGGCCCAGGTTCGATCCCTGGTTGGGGAACTAAGATCCCACAAACCATGTGGTGCGGCCAAAACAAAACAAACAAAAGACTGAGATGAATCAGTCATGTGGAGAGGGAAGCATGTGGGCTGGCCTGGTATGAGGGGCACGAATGAGATGCCTGCTGCCGAGCAGAGGGTCCTGCCTCGAGGTGCAGCGTGGTGATTACTCTGCACCCCCAAACCCAGCCTCACAACCCACCGATGCAAGTAAAAGGGTCACTGAACATTTTCTTTCTTTCAAAAACCACAAACTCATTAACTCTAAGGTATAAACAACAGCAAACGTGTCCCAAACAAGATGATCTGCCTTGGTAAAAGGCACCACCAGTACCCAAAAGCAGGCCACCAGGAGGCACTGGAGGGAGGACATTCTGTGCAGGGACTTCTTAGGGACACACAGGTCCCCCTGGCACCACCGTCTTGGCTGGCTTGACCCCTGACTTTCCACAGAATTGGGAGCTCTAGGCAGAGACCCTCCACACACACACACACACAACCTCCAGAGAGGGGCTTCTCTTCTCTCTCCCCTTTCTTCCTCTTGCTCATGGCTTCCCCAGGATCCATAGAAAATGAGATCCCCAGTATTTACACCTCATATTCCCCAGATGAGAAACGGCCCCAGAAAGCAGAGCAGGACTCTGCCAACAGGCTCCCAGCACCTCGTGCTGTGCCACTGACAGGCCTCCAGGAAGTGGGCCCTCCCCTCCCCTCCCGCGGCGGGGGCTGGAGTCAAAACCCTCATCTGTCCTCAGATGAGTCCTGCTATAAAAAGCCCCTCAGAGACCTCCAGGGCCACAACGGCCCTGCCCGCCACTGGGCTGGGGGGCCAGTCTCCAGAGCAGCGTGGTTTTCTGCAGCGGCCACAGTGTGTTCCCAGAGAGCCCTGGGGGCTCTCAGCGGCCCTGGGAGAATCCACCTTCATCCAAGGGAATCTCAGAACAAGCCCTTCTCTTTAAGGCTCTGAAGAAGGAGCCCTGCCTGCCCACAGAAAGCATTTCAGAGCCTCCATTCACCCCCACACACACCCAGGTCCCCACCCCCCACCCTGCCACACCACAGAGCAGGACATTTATTTCCACAGATGCTCCTGATGAAGAGCAAATCCCCTTCAGAGATTCCAGCAGATGCAAGACAGACGCTGGACACGCACATGTCCATGGTGGGCAGAGGAGTGGCTGGCTGGCCAGGGACACGCTGAGCTATGTCCCCACCGTGGTGGTCAGCTTCAACCATTTGTGGCCTTAAGGGAACTTGGTCCAGATATTACAAATTTTCCAAGGTAAGCCAGAAGTGAGGCTTTTCTTGTAAACTCTACTGACTTTTTTAAAAAATTTTTTTAATTTAACTCTCCTGATTTTAAAGTGCTGGCCGACAAATCAAGCCCAACAGCACATATCAGAGGCCTGTGAATCTGCAAACCCCTAAGACAGCCACGCCCTGATCATTTAACATCAGACCTGAAGGGCTCACCCACTGCTTGTCACCTGGGGAGGCCGGGCCTCCATTCCACATGCTGCCATGTACCCTCTTCAGAAATGAGAGCTCCAATCACATTCTTTCCAGCAATCTCATGGATGCAAATGGTGTTTTCACAATGGAATCTTGGAAAGAGAGCAATCTGGAGCTCAAGTCTAGTGGTGACGAAGCCCAGAGGCTGGACTCTTGAGGTGACAAGGCTGGTCTTCTCTGTGTGCTGCTAAAGCAGCTCCTAGGAGGTGCCCGAGGTGGACAGCTGAGGATGGCTGTAAATGTGAGTCTCTTCCGTTCCTACATCAGCAGCTTTGCTTTTTAGCCAGTTTACACTTGAATGTGTAGTAGGTGGTTACTGACTCCTTCAGTTTTGCTTCTGAGACTCAAGGTTTGGGGAAATTGAAGTTCCTGGTTCTGTGCTGCCCTTGAGTTCTGGGTCACGTGGCATCTATGTTGTCCCACCTCTAGCTCCCCTTGAGTGAGTTTTCCTGACCCCTTTGCTTGCCTGAGAGATGCTTAGATGCTCACACCTGGCAGGGCCTCAGCATTGCTGGAAAGCTCCAGCCCTGCCCTCTGCCCCGTCCTGCTCCAGTTTCCACTGTGCCTGGGGCCCTCGTTAGAAATCAGATTCCTAACCAGTTTGCAGGGCAGAAATAGAGACACAGATGTAGACAACAAACATATGGACACCTAGGGGAGAAAGTGGTGGTGGTGGGATGAATTGGGATATTGGGATTGACATATACACACTAATATGTATAAAACAGATAACTAATAAGAACCAGCTGTATAAAAAATAAAATTCAAAAACAGAGAATTAAAAAAACAAAACTGCTTTAAAAAATAAAGTCCATTAAAAAATTTTTAAAAAGAGAGAAATCAGATTCCTGGGCCCTCCTCCAGAACAGTTGCCTCAAGGACCCAAGGGACCCTTGTGCTCTGCATGCTGGAGGGTCACGAGTCTGGTGGCTCCCAGCTGCCACGAGGGGCTTGTGTTGCATCAGAATCACCCGGGAACCATTCTACTTTTAATAACAGCTATGACACATGAGTGTCATGCCATACAGTTTTTTATAAATTTATTTATTTAATTTATTTATTTTTGGCTGTGTTGGGTCTTTGTTGCTGCATGCGGGCTTTCTCTAATTGTGGTGAGTGGGGGCTACTCTTCGTTGCAGCGCGCAGGCTTCTCGTTGCGGTAGTTTCTCTTGTTGTGGAGCACAGGCTCTAGGCACGCGGGCTTCAGTAGTTGCAGCACACAGGCTCAGTAGTTGTGGCTCACGGGCTCTAGAGTACGGGCTCAGTAGTTGTGGCGCACGGGCTTAGTTGCTCCACGGCATGTGGGATTTCCCAGACCAGGGATCGAACCCGTGTCCCCTGCATTGGCAGGTAGATTCTCAACCACTGCGCCACCAGAGAAGCCCCCATACAGTTTTTAAAATATACGATTGAGTGGTTTTTAGTACATTCACAAGTCGATCACTGATATCCTGGGGAATGTTTAAAACTGTATGTACTGTCAGGGCCTCCCCAGGGATTCTGATGCCGTGGGGCCTGGGAGCTCCCTGGAGGCCATGCTGTGCAGCCAGCTACGGAACCACAGGCAGCGTGGGATCTCTCCACTGGGGTGACTTTGCTTCCAGGGGATGTTTCACTGTACCTATAGACAATTTTGGTTGTCACAACTGGGGGCTGCTCCTGGCATCTACTTATGGGAAGGGGCCAGGGATACTGCTCAACATCTCACAGCATACAGGATGCGCCGATGGCAGAGAAGGACCCAGCCTCCGATGTCTAGAGTGCCCACGCTAGAAGAGCTGGATCTACAGGAACCTCAAGTCCCTGCCAGCCCTAATGAGACCACCAGGGACCTCCAGGCCCAGCTCGTGGGGGCCTCCAGAAACAGAACTGGGCTTGGTCAGTTTGGGACATTCTCACCCTTGAATGTCCACTGGGCACGTGAGGATCCTGTCAGAAGCAGATTCTGTTCAGTAGAACTGGGCTGGGGGCTGAGGTCCTGCATCTCTAACAAGTTCCCAGGTTATGCCGCTGGTCTGGGAACCACACTTTGAGTAGCGAGGGTGTGGATCACTTACAGGCCACCCAGGGGCCCACCTGGGGGTAGCCTCAGTGCACATTCTGGACTGTACACCGTCTTGTGTACAGTCCAACGCATACGGCCACCTCAGTAATCTGCGCGTTGGGGAGCTCAGGCACACTGTTACAGATAACCCCCATGTCACAGATAACCCAGAAATACTTACTTGCCTCTACAAACCGTTTTTCCTACAGTTGGAGGGAGATGTGGCAGCTCCCTGAGAATTGTCTTCCATCCAAAAGGATGAAAGTAAAGAGGCCTAGGGCAGCCTCCCCCTTCTCATCCTGCCCCATCCCGCAATTCCCTCACCACAGGCACCCCAGACAGAGCCGCGCCCCCTCTGAAGGCCATTAGAAGGGTGGGCTTCAAGGTGAGGACACACTTCCAGAACATAAGCAACAGCTAGAGCAGGGGCGCCGCGGTCAGTCTTCAGTGATAAGCGGGGACAGTGGTCCGCAGAGCCTGTCCAGGCTCCAACAGGGCAGAGGTGAGGCTAAGTGGCAGCATGGCAACCCTGGGGAGCGAGAGCAGGACTGTTGATGGCAGGCGCTGAGACACCTGTCAAGCAGGAGACCTTCCAAAATAGAACTCCCCAACCCAGGCGCTGTCCACAGAGGGCTGAGTGCCAGCAGGCTCTCCCGGATTAGGGAGTAAGGTCTGTCAGTGAAGAGCTGCAGAGGCCCCCGCCTCCTTCCTTCCCCACATTCCAGCTCCTCACGAAGGGGTACAAGGCCAAGGCTACCTTCTCCCAAAGCCGCCCCAGGGATGCCCTCCACTGGTACAGGCTGCCCAGGACAGAGTGGGGCGCCCTGGCTTCTCCCTTGGAGCAAGAACAGGTGCCTGCCCCAGCCTGGCTTGATAGCAGCCGGGGATCCACTGCCTGTTGCCCGAGTGGTTCGTCTCCTAGCAACCAAAGGTTTGAGCTGTGGGTTAGACTCTGCTCAGCCTTGTCCGGTCCCTGCTGCTAGCCCCCACGGGCTCTGCATCCAAGCCTGCTATCTTACTATGGGTGCTGTGTCCTGTGCCTCCCCAAGGGAGGGCCCTGCCCACACAGCATGTTTGCTGGAGGTTGGGCTGAGGGTCCAGCCTGCAGCCCGTCACTGGGGCCCTAAGCCAGGAGGAAAAGTCCTCTGTGAAACCCTGGCAGACCGGAAGGCAGCTGTTAGCCCTGGAGGTCGGGATCTGTCCAGTCGGACAGGGGGAAGGGTGAGCAGATGGAGGCAGGGGTTCTGGGAACACAGGGCAGGAACTAACTTCATGGGAAAAGCCTGGGGTGGGCAGGAAGATTCCAGAGCATGTTGTGGTTGAAAAGACAGCAACAGACAGGAGCGGTGTGGAGCCAGGCGGGACTGGGGGGTGGGCCCTTGCTCTGGGCTCCGTTGGCTCCCTCCCCCTCCACACAGGGCCAGCTGGCAGCAAAGCTTAGGATACGAGGCAAGACCACAGAGCCTGGTGGTGGTTTGGAACTCTTTCTTCTCCTTTGTTAAAAGGGGGAAAGGAACTGGGGATGGGGTACCCCTGGGCTCTGGGGAGGCATGCAGGCAGCCCCAGCAGGCAGGCGCTGGGGGATGGGTGGGAAGAGTCCTGGAGTTTCCCACAATCCTTTTCTCTGCAGGGAACAGCAAGGCTGACTGCCCAGGGGTCAGGGGAGAGGGGCAGGGCCCTGGGGAGAGGGACAGCGGACAAGGGGAGAGGGGGCTCACTCTTACATGCAAAGTCCAGCTGCCCCATAAACTAGGTTGCTTCTCGAAGAGCGACATACATATAAATACACAGACACAGCGACACGCAACGCACACATGCGGAGAAGGCTCTGCATTCCCGAGGGTGGGGATCTAGGCCCACCAGCCCCAGGGAGCTCCGCAGCCCCCTGGGGTGGGGTGGGGCAGGTGAGTCCTCGGGGGAAGGCTGCTTGTTCTCTGAGGTTCTGTCCACCAGTACCCAGACGACTCTGAACCAAATCCATGAAAGCTGGGTGCCGCAGGCCCGCGCTGCTGGGTACGCATGCGGGCAGCCTGCGTACTGGCACAACGGTCCGGTCTCTCCCCCCCAGGGCTCTGGGGAATGGGGGTGCAGACAGAGGAGGGTGAAGGGGGCCCGCAGAGACGTCCTCTCCCCCGCCCCACGGGGTTCTGGCCTCCGGGAGGGGGGAGGGGCCTCCCTTATCTCTCGGCCTCCATGGCAGGGTGGGCTCTGGGTTCTGAGGCGGCCTGTTGGGGGACCAGGGGCGGCCAGTCTGACACCGGGGAAGGGGGTGCCGGAGTCCACAGGGGCGGCTGCTGCGGCTGGTGGTGCTGTGCCCCCCCTGGGGGCGAGGCCGCAGCCGGCCAGCTGGGTGCCGCGAAGCTGCCGGTGGCGGCGAGTGGGAAGTGCGGCGGGGGCGACGTGGCCGTGGCGGCCATCGGGCTGCCGCTGCCTCCGCTGTGGAAGCTCTCGGAGGCCTTGAGACGGGAGAACATGGTGAGGGCATCAGGGAAGTTGGGGGGCGTGGCGGGGGTGTTGGCTGGAGTGCACATCTGTGGGGGAAGAGGAACAGAGAGGGAGGGGTGAGCACCCCCTTTCTGGAAGGGCCCTGGGCTCCCACGAGGAGACACATCACCCTTCCCTGGAGGCACCCCACCCTGCAGGCGGTCCACCAGCCAGGAGCTCACAGAGGAAAGGTGTGGTGTCCGAGATGGGCTAGCCCACTGTGCCTGCTGCCAGGCTCCCAGGAGTCCCATCCCAGCGGCTCTTCCGTGGCCAAGAGCCACTGCACCTTCCTTGGCCCTGGGTGGCTTCCCCCTGCCCTGAACCGGGACAGCCCCGCAGGGCTGCCCCTGGGGCTGCAGGGGACACTTACCATCTGGTGGTGATGGTGGCTGTAGGGGATGTTGGTCTCTTGGAAAAAGGCGCTGAGGGCCGTCTGCGGGAAGAAAGGCCCACGCTTACCCTCAGGACCCCTGTGGCCCTGGCCTGGCAAGTTGAGGCAGCATGCCTGTCATCCCTCGACCCTCGCTGCAGCCCAAAGAGGCGCTGTGGACCTCTGGGCAGGTCTGGTGGGTGGGGAGGACCCTCATGACACTGCCTGCCACCTGGCTGCCAAGTGCTTCCAGCTCACCTGACATGGGGGCCTGTCTCATGGGGAAAGGCCTCTGGTAGATTCTAGCCCTACTGCCACCAACTCCATGGATGGCAAGTCCCTACTCCTCCCTGAGCCTCAGTTTCCTTGTCTATGAGCCAGAGGACGGCAAAGGCACCCAGATGCTGAGAGTCTGTAACCCACCTGCTCCTTTCCTAGGCTGGCCAAGGGACTCTGCCCTGGTTCTCGGTTTCTCCGTCTGCACCACAGGGTGATGGGACTAGGTGGCTTGCAGGTTCCCCTCCCTAGCAGCAGTGACCTCCGGAGATCCACGGTCCAGCTGGGAGAGCCGGAATTAAGTAGGATGGTCTGGGGTTTGCACCCCTGTCCAGTTACCTGAGCCTTCCTTGGAATGTTCTCAAGGTGGTGGAGCAGGAGGAAGGCTGAAGTGGGGTTTGCACCCAGGACTGTGAGAAGTGGGTGGGAAAGGGGGTGGCAGTTGGCCTGGGTCAGACAAGCTCCTCTAGTGACCCTGGGGGGCTGGGAGGAGGGGCCCCAGGGTGGCCTCCGCTGGCATTGGTGTGTCCTGGTTCGACCCCTGCAGGAGAGGCGTCCAGGAAAATAAAGGAACCAGCTGCTCTTGCGAAAGTGCTGGGTGAGGGAGCCCGTCAAGTGTGTGAAGGGTCTGCAGGCAGCTCTGCCCTCCATGGCTCCCCGCTCGGGCTCACCACCCCACAGCCCAGCGCTATCAGCCCCTCCCCCACTCCCAACACACCCAGAAACCCAGCCTGGCTTCTAGGGCTTACCCTAGGGGTTTTATTATTAAATTCAAGTGAATTACTCTGGGAATTTCCTGCTGGAGATGCCCTACCCCAGTGTCCCCAAACATGGGTGTGGGAGCTGGGGGGAGGGCCTTGATCTCTAAGCACCTCCTTGTGACACACACCCCCAGGAGCCCCAAGGGACACACCAAACCATTCCTCCCCCAACGGCAATTCTGAAGGCCATTGCTGTGTGTGAGGATTCCAGGGAGAAACGGCTGCCCTTTTCCTGCCTTCCTAAAGCACCCCCAACCTTAAAGCACACAGGTCCCCCTCCAGCAGGCTTCTGTCCCCATTAACACCTGAATCACAGAGAGTATGACCCCAAAACAAGGGCTCCTGCTGCACCAGCCCTCAGTCCAAGTGTGCAGCCAGCCAGGGAGGAGGGCACAGAGGGGAGTTTACCACAAGGAACCCCAGTCACTCCCAGGAAGACCTAAGGATTGGATGTTCACAATCCATTTTTACCTTAAGTAGACCCCCCTACTATCCGCCTCCCCATTTTACACATGGTGAAATTGAGACTCAGGGAGCCTGGCACACAGGGCTCCTACCCTGGGGGCCACCAGAGCTCCCCAGTCTGCAAGCTGCTCCTGCCCCTCCTGAGATCAGAGTTCTTCCCCAGGCATTTTCATTTTCAAAGTTACATTTTCAAGTCTTGTGACCAAGCGACACCAACCAGTGCTGCCTGAGTAACTGCCAGGCTGGTGCCAGGCTCTGTGGGCTGGGCTGAGACTGCCGACAGGCAGGGCCGCTTCCCACCGGACACCTGCCTGCCCAGCCCCAGGCAGACCGGACACTACCTGCCTGCCCAGACCCAGGCAGGCGGGGGAGCCGTGTATGCAGATGTGGGACTCAAGTAAACTGCCATGAATGTGGTTTTGCAAGTTTTGCCACATCCAGTTCTTGAGACAAACGGGCTGATTAGGGAGCTTCCTGCAGGGTGGGGCTGCCGGGGTTGGCCATTCTCTCCTTAGAGGTCAACTCACATGCCCCAGGTACAGCTGAGGAAACTGAGGCCAGAGAGTGGGACCTGCTCAGAGAGCCAGAGCAGCCTCCCATCTTGTGATGTGAGGACCACCGCAGGGTTAGCAGTCCCCCTGAGATCTCTGGTAGGAAAGTGAGCAAGGATTCCCCTGGGTGAACAGGCCACTGCCTCCCCAGACTGTCCCAACCTTCGGGCAGCAATTCTGATCCCCATCCCACCCCCAGGAAGCTGAACTCCAGAGTACCCTGGCTCCCTGTCCCTCCTACGGCCCAAATACCTTCCCTGAGCTTGCTCCCCATCTAGAAACCAGGCTCTGAAGCCTGGACTGGGCACAGACTCTACAGACTGGCTGGGGCTGTGACCTTACACTTGTGAGGGGAAGAGCTCAAGGGGCTCTGGCCTCATCCCTAGATACCATCCTGGGTTACTTCTGGGGCGGCAGAGTAGGGAAGGCCAGGTGGCCTCTTGGCAGCACAAGCCCTGGGCACTAGTGCCCTATGGGTCAGGGAGGCCTGGGGAGGTGGGGGCCAGGCTGGGGCAGCCCCACCTCCTGCCCAGCTGGCTGAAAGCTAGAAGCTACTGAACCGTGTATATCATGCCATGCACTGTGCAGGTAGATTCGCCGGCCAGCACAGAGGAGAGCACCTGGACACGCCTCTGGAGCAGGATACACAGATGCACACGTAGCTGTAGTGTGGGGCTCCGACACAACACCTGTACACATGTGTGCGCACGCGAGAGCACCGTCTGCAAAACGGCGACCTGTGGTGTGGGTACACACCCCGCACCCGCGCCCCGGTGGACTGCGTGTTTACACACACACGCGCGCGCGCGCCAACATGTCCACACGCAGCGTGGCGCGTGCGTAAATACAAATGCACATGTACGTGGACACGCGCCGCCGAGCTGTCCAGCCCACACGCAGATCCTCAGACCCTGAGACCCACCGGGCGGCTCCACCCGCGGGCTCGGGGCTCCCTTATCTTAAACCCGCAGCTCCCAAGGCGGGGGCGGCGTGGGCCCAGCTCGGCCCAGGCCTGGGGCGTCCTCCTTCCGGCCGCCCGCCAGTCTGTCCGTTTGGGCCTCGGCGCCGCCCCGCCCGTTACCCGCACAAAAACGGGGGCCCCCAAAACCGATCGCCCGGGCATTTGGGGGGCGGGGATTCGGGCCCGGGGGAGGTAGACTGCCCCTTCCGCCCACCCCGAGCGGGCGGCGTTTCCGGGGGCCGCGTAGACGCGGCCGCGCCGCGGGGCCTGACCCGCACGCCGCGTGTGCGCTCTGCGGCCCAGCCGCCGGGGCGCGCGACCGCCGCGACTCCGGGCCGAGTGCGCGGGCCCGACCCCGGCCGAGCGCGCCGCGGCACGTGTCCACACCGGCCCGCACATGCTCCACTGCACGCGTAGCCACGCGGGACGGACACCCGCGCCCCGGCCCCAGCCCGGCCGCGCACCTCGAACTGCCAGTGGGCCGCCTGCAGCAGCTGCTTCGCCTGATCGGCTGCGCAGCCGGCCGTCAGCACGAACTGGTTGATCATGACCTGGTGCTTGAGCTCGTCCATGTTCACGGACATGGCGCCTCCGCCGCCTGCCCGCTCCGGCCTCCCGCCGCCGCGCGCTCCTTCGCCTCACGCGTCCACCATTAGCGAGCCGGCTCCGGCTAATACAAATATTTACTGTGCGGCTCTGACTCACCGAGCCTCGCCTCGCTCCGGGCCGCGGGGGGCATGCTGGGAGATGTAGTCCCGCGCCGCTTCCGCCGCGCTCGGCCGGGAGCCGCGGGCCGGCCCGGGGCCGAAGGTGTGTCTGAGCGTTGGGCGCCTACTGTGTGCAGAAGCTGGGCGGGCACGTGCCCAGGCCCGTGACTGAACTGACGGGGGTCAGGAGACGGGGGCCATAGACACTGTGCATGGGCGCAAACGCAGCCTCAGGGTATTTACCAAGATCCCAGTACCCCGAACCCCAGTGTGGTTGGCATCCCTCTGTGTTGAGTAGGCGCACTATTGGGGAGGGGGATGGGCCAAGAATTTTGGCACAAATCAACAGCACTAGGACCATAAGGCCCCGAAAGCCTGGCACACAGTAGGCGCCTACAGATACTCGTTCAGTGAATGAATTAATCTGCCCTTTAGGGGTCTGCCTAAAGTCACCGCCTCCAGGAAGCCTTCCGAGTCTCCCCAACACCCAGGGCACAAGCTCGCGTCGCCCACTTGTGACACGGGTCCCTCCCCGGCCTGGCGCTCCGCCAAGCACACAGTAGACCCAAGGAACGTCAGAGGAAGGGATGGCGACCGAGACAGGTAAGCGAGACCAGCAGTCTCTGGAGCCTCTGCATACCCTCTGCGGGACGCTCGCACTTTCCCACGCATAATTTCGTGCGCTTTGCCGGAAATCTCAGCTTTTAGTGGGCGGACTCTAGGACCGCGCGGCGCCAGTTCCGGGGCGGCCCCGAACTCCCATTCCCAGAATGCCCTGGTTTATTTGCATTGCTCAGTCCTTGTGACGTCAAGTGAATGAGGCCGCGCCTCAGCCAATGGGCTGTCGGGAGGTGTTAGGACCTGGCCATATAAGGTAAACAAAGCTGGCCGCCCAATGAGGCAACAGCGGGGGCGGGCACTGGGTTGGGGCGGGCGGGGCGCGTCACGTGGAGGGCGGGGGCGGGGCTGAAGAGAGCGCTAGGTAGGGTGTTGGGGGTTGTGTTTACAGCTCCGCACGCGCCGCTTCCGGTTGACGTTGCCGGTCGGGAGTGTCGGGGCCGGGCGGATTCGGAGCTGGGGCCGGGGGTTTCGTCACTGCGGCTCAGAATGACCTTATCCCGGTTCCCCGCGCTCCCTGGACACCAGTTTCATTAGTTGAGCAACTTTTTATTGGGCCCTTACTCTGTTCCTGGCTCTGATCTGGCCAGGGATGCAGAGAACAAACTCTAGAAGGGTCGGCTGGTGCGTGGGGTGGGGGCGTGCATCAAAAATCCCAAGAACAGGGACTTCCCTGGTGGCCCAGTGGTTAAGAATCCTCCTGCCAATGCAGGGGACACGGGTTCGAACCCTGGTCCAGGAAGATCCCACATGCCGCAGGGCAACTAAGCCTGTGTGCCACAATTACTGAGCCTGCGTGCCACAACTACTGAAGCCCGCGCACCTAGAGCCTGTGCTTCGCAAGGAGAAGCCACCACAATGAGAAGCCTGCGCACTGCAACGAAGAGTGGCCCCCTCTTGCCACAGCTAGAGAAAGCCCGTGCACAGCAACAAGGATCCAATGCAGCCAAATAAATTAAAAAAAGAAAAATCCCAAGAAGAGATGTAGAATTGCAAGTGTGGAAAGTACCCTCAGGAAGCAGGCACAGGCCCTGGAGATGGTGGGCTAAAGGCCATTGAGGGGGTTTACTACATCTGATCCGTTGTGTGCATTAGGATCACTGTGGCTGAGCAGTGTGGAGACCAGATGGTGGCAGAGAGGACCAGTCCGGGTCAGGTGATGTTCTAGGTGTGTCTGGTTCCAGGGGAGTCCGTCCCTGCCCAGGGATTTGTTGCAGAATTAGACTGAATGGAGGGAACTGTCCCACCCTGGGGGGAGGAGGAGGACCTGCAGGGCTCTGGGAGGAGCCCTTCCTGGGTCCCTCAACCCTTCCAGGGGATTCTGGCTTTGACTGGTAAGAGGAGGAGAATGGAAGATGGTGGACAGGACCTGAAGGCTCCCAAGGTTATGGGGGCTCCGGGGAGGCTGGGGCATCGGGATAGCTGGGGGAGGGAGGGGAGCCTGGAGCAGTGGGACTGCTAAGTGGCCTCTGAGGGCTGGAGATGGGAGCTTGGCCCTTTGGCAGGGAGAGGACTCAGTGTTCCCTTCAGGTGGGTGCCTCAACCCTGGCAGAAGTCACCTTGGGACTTATTTCCCAAGTCCACTCAGGAAATAAGGTTTCAGCCCCTTTCTGCCACATGGGGATCACTCAGGCTGCACCATTTTTTGCAAATCTTGATGGTACCAGGAGAGTTCTGCTCTTATTAAAAATGGCCCCTCACCTTCACAAAGCATCATAAGTGTGAATTAATGTGGACAAAGTGCTCAGCACGGGGTGGGCAGTTCTGAATGTCATTACCTCTATCACTATCACTACTGGGACAGCAACACGGTATGGTGCCAGGTGAGCAGGTTCTGGAGCCAGATAGACCTCGGTGTCAGTCTTGACTCTGCCACTTAATGACTCTGATGTTGGGACAAGGTTCTCTGGCCCTGAGTTTCAGTTCCTTCATTTGTAGAACCCAAGGTAGCAGCTTAGAACTCTCCCAGGACTGCTCTGGGGGATTAATGCCTGTGGTGCTCAGCACCATTTTAGCACTCATCTCTTTGCCTCCATCTGGACCACTGTAGGGAACCCAAGCCCCATTTTACAGATAAGGAAACTGAGGCTGGAATCCAAACTTCCTTACACTCTTGACAGTGTTCAGAGCCAGTGGAGAAGAGTAGGCACCCAATGGGCCAGCAGGGTGTGTTTCTGGCCAAGGAGGGTGGGCACTGTCCTGGCAGGGACCACTGGGGACTTTTCTTGCTTAGGGAGGCAGGAAGTACCTTCACCCCTTCCCTCACTCTCATCTGGGCACCACTCAGTTACCTGCCTAGACTTGCTCAGCCCAGAAGGAGCTCTTCCAGGCCAGCTGGCTGGCTGGGTGGGGCAGGTGGGGCTAGCAGGAGCAAAGGTCACCCCTCTGGCCCCTATGGACCCCCAGCCAGCTTGTTTTCCCAGGGGCAGCGGGAAGGAAAAAACAACCTTGTTTTCAGCCAGGATCAGCCTGGCTAGAGAGTGGACTTTGGATTTCTTAGCAGGCTCGGATGGGGCCTGACAGCTGGGGCCAGTAGATGGGGGGGGGGATGGAGGTATAAAAGGAATTTATGGCAATGCCTTCATCTTACCTGAGGTCCAGGGAGGTTGAGGACCTTGGCAAAGTTGGCATAGCCAGTTGATGGTAGGCCCAGGACCCCGGGCTCCTCTCCACCTCCATTCCTTCAATCACTCCACAGATGTGTTTATCAGACATCCACTGGGTGCCTGGCTCTGGGAGCACAAGAATGAATAGGCAGGGATCCTGCCCCCTCAGAAGGCTTGAGAAGTCGACTTGAGGGATTCATACTAGCCATGAAGTATGCCTAGGGTCTTTCTTCATGTTTCAAAGGACCCGATACTGGCTGACTGAGGGGCCTTGAGATCTGGCCACTGCCTCACTCCTGACCTCTGTTCCTGAACTCTCCTGCCTACTTGATTCTAGCCACACTGGCCTTTGAGCTCATTGATCTTACTCAGCTCCTCAGGGCCTTTGCACATGCTGCTCTCCCTGCCTGGAACCTGGGCTGCCTACTCCCTCAGCGTTTGCCTGCTTGGCTCTTACTTGTATTTCAAGTCCTAGCTTAAATGTCACTTCCTCAGAGAAGCCTTCCCTGATTTCCCTATGAATAGTAGGTCTCTCCTAGTATTTCACTGCACCTCAGTCCATTCCCTTATAGCACCCACCACATTTTGTATTTATACACTTGTTCGCCTGTAGTGTCTGTTTCCTCACTAGATGTTTCATATCTGGTGGTTTCACCATTTAATCTCTATTTCCTGGCTCTTTGCCTGTCTCATTGCTTTTCACATAGTAGCTGCATGATAAATATTTGTTGAATAAATAAGTGAACCAGCGAAGATGTTGATAGTAGAACCAGTATCAAATCAAAAAGGGCCTGTCTCCCACTGGGGCATGGATAAGCACAGAAAAATATACCCGAAGTCCAAAGCTCTATTAAGAGGAATGTTTAATTGATCAAACATCAGCCCATGGAAATGACTGCCCTGGCCCACTATCTGTAGGGAGGACATGCTCTTAGGGTTATTTTTCAGTGGGAACATCTGGGCCCTCAATACTCTCCTTCCCTCCCCACAAGCAGGGAGACCGATAAATTGAATGCTGTGTTGGTATACCTATTTGTGTATATATGATTCAACAGTGTTATGTGATTCAACAGAAAGAAATTTAAAGTAAGGGAAGAAAGGTCACATGGGGTGGGGATGTCTTCAGGCCCATCTGGGAGCAAGAGACAGGGAATCTCGCACTGGAGCATTCCTGTCTCTGGGGTGGTAGGGGCTGGGGGTGGCAGGGGAGTGTGGCATTAAGAGGAGTGGCCTGGTTCAAATTCCAGCTTTATTACCACTTATCTACTATGCAAGCTGAGTGGGGTACTTCACTTCTCCTGGCCTCTTTCCTCTTCTGTAAATTGGGAATGAAAATGGAACCTACAACAGAGAATTAAAAGAGAGGATATGTGCATAGCCTTCAACACCAATGTCTGGCACATAGTAGGTGCTCAGTAAATGGGGATCTTGGTTGCAGGGCAGAGAGGTTAAATCAGGCTCCAAGACCTGGACTCTCCCTTATAATCACACAAGTCCCTCACTTCTTTTATTACTTTTGG